ATGATGTTCATAATTAGCATAATAATAATAATTGTCGGATAAATCGATTTCCTTAGAGTTTTTCAAGCAAAAATAGTTTATAAGAAATTTTTTTTCACACGTGCCATATCGTTTAATTAACAATTTATAAGAATTTATATTAAACACTGCGGAAAATTGTTTTAGTTAGATAAAAAAAATTCTTAAAATTCCTTTTTTTCTTTAAAAAAAAATTTCTTTTTATAAAAAAGAAATGATCAGTTGATAAAATGAAGAAATGACTTTCCTAAAGTTTTGACCGTTTATGAATGACATTTTTTTCTAGATTTGAATATTATTTAAAATTAAAATTTAAATTTAAAATTAATACACAGAGAAGAATAATTAATTAATTCTTAGTTAAGACTTTTTGATAAACAAATAATTTTTTAAATAAAATACAAAATTAACAGAAGCAAAAAAATGTAGTTCGAAACTTTAGGAATAAAACAAAAAATCTTTTTGTACACTGAAAAAAGAAAATCTTCATGTACTTACAATTTTAATGTAGATTTCAATTTTTTTTTAATCTAGATTTTTAAACTTTTTTTTAACAATTTTCAAAAGACAATTTATAAGAGTGAATAATTATTAATTATTCTTTAATAATGAATTAATAATACTCCTTTTTCACAGTGTATAAAAAAATTCTTTTTTAAACCCACAAAGTGCTTAAGCAAAATATTATCGTTCGCTCACAACTTCGATATTTAACTTTACCTAATTATCTAATATCGAGAAAAAAGTCACGAGAAATTTTTGAAACTTAATTGTTAAGTATAAAATACACTTTTTCACACATACCACTTCATGGCCTCCAATTAAAGAGAATCACCAGAAACAAATTGAAATATTTTCAGTTCTTCCTTTAAAAATATTGATAATCCAATCACAATTGAAGAGAGTGAGAGAGAGTGAGTGAGGGAGGGAGGGACGTTATACTTTTGAGAGAGGACCTTCGCGCGCCGATTCATCCAAAACTCTGATCTGAAAATGAGAGCCGGCAAAGCTACACGAGCCAAAACCAAGTCGTTGCCGTTCAAATGGCATTGGAATAAGATGCCAAATTTCCACCATTTAGGACCCTCCCTCATTTTTAGGCTCATTGTCCTCCCACATCACCTGCGAAAAAAGACAATAATTTACTGAAAGTACCTTGATAATTTAAATCTCAAAAAAATTGACCATAACTTCTTTTTTTGCCAAGAAATGATTAAAATCGATTTTCTTACTTTCTGTGTACAAATTTTTCAGTAAAAATTTAATCTTATTTTTTTCACAATCAGAAAAAAAATTACTAATTTTTTTTTTTGTTAAGAAATTATTAAAATCGATTTTAATACTTTGTATGTGCAAATTGAATCCTGTTTCTTTTAATAGAAGTAAAAAAACATGATTGCTTTTTTTTATTCAATAAATAAAAATTTTTAATAAATAAAAAATAGAAAATCGAATAAATCAAAAATAGAAAATTTAATAAATAAAAAATAAAAAAATATAATAAATCAAATTTTACCACCAATAATAAGTGATAAAATGTCAATATATCGGAACGAAAAAATATTTTTTCTTCATTTCACTTTCATCTGCAGACTTTTTAGTAAAAATAAATGTCGCAGACAAGAAAAGTAGAATAGCAAAGAGGAAATAGATTTTAAAGCAAAACAAAAAAATTATGACGACAATTGGAAAATCCCAAGAATAAAAATTTGTGTCAAACGAAGAGAAAATGAAAAAGATCATTTTTTTCAGTCATTTCTTTTCATTAAGTAATTAAGCAAAAAAAATCTTGGCAAAAGATTGGTTGCATGATTGGCAAACCACTTGCTAATTAATGAAGGTCCTCATATAATAATTATAGAATGCCTAGGACAAATAAATGTTATCTAAATCTATTTTTAATCAAAAAAAAGAAAATAAAGTAACACTTTCTTCGGAAAGTTTTTTTTAACTTTTCTTTTTTTCTAAAATTGATGAATTTTCACTGTAAGTAAATTTAAAAATTAATACCTAGATTAATTATTATTATTATTAAAAGATAATGCGGGAATTTTGAAATAAATAAATAAATGATTTATTGCGGAGAAATATAAAATAATACTTACAGAGAGAGTGGAAATTAAAGAAAATTTAGTACCAGAGTTTTGAAGAAGAAATCGGCATAGGTATGAAAAAAAGAAGAGCGGAAGCAGTGGTTTTTCAATATACGAAAATCAAAAGTGTATCGGCCAACGCATCTCACGAGGTTAGCTATTTTCGTAATCTTGACACATGTCTAATTTCACGTAACAATTCGTATGGTTTTTTGATTTAATAATATAAATAAATACCTATAAAAAAAACAAAATATTATTTCTGTTTAGAAAATAGAAAAATAAAACAACGAGAATAGTGAGATAATTTTTCCGAAAAAAAATGAACAATTTTGAATTATCAGTCTGTTGATCTGTCTAACTGTTTGTCTGGCAGACACAACTCTTTTCTCGCTATTTAATGAAAAGTGAGTTTTCCAACATTTTCTAAACACATTCGCGATCACTATAACTTCTTTCATTGACATACAATTTGGCATATGATCAAAGGGATATTTGTCCGTTCGTCATTAATATCCAAAGTGAATTTTACGCTATTTTTACATTTATTAACAAGCAACAGGTTAACAAACTCGGCAAATAGTTTTTATCTATACAAAAAGAAAAGGTAATTGTCTTTATTGAAATATTCATAAAAAACAGTATTTTTAAATTTCCAATTTGAAGAAAATGCACTTTTTTTTATTCTCGAATTTTATTACCGAATTGTATTTATAAAATTGTAATTTAATAACAAAAATGCCAAACATGGAGATATTTTAAAGAATACTATAACGATAATAACAAAGATAATAAATAAAGAACGTAACGAATCAAACGAACCCGCATTAGTTTCTTTAGGTTATGTTGACATTTTGTCATTAATTTAACTATTAAATATTGACGTTGTAAAAAATCTGATACCTACTCACTTTCGAAATGATGGTACAATCGACTATTTTATAATTCTCCGATAATTGCTAAGCTGCTATTCGAATACTATTGAAATCATTTAAATTAAGAATGTTAAGAACGTTAAAGATTAAGAATTTAAGATTTGACGGATTTGACTTAAAAAGTGTTTATTGAAGATAAAAAGGTGCAATTCGACCTTTGATATACACATTCTTTTAATTTATATTCGAATTATTATTATCTAAATAAATAACTTCTATTATCCTCTTAGGTATTCACTTGAAATTAAAATTATTAGAAATCAATAAACATTCTTGAAACATTGTTTACTATTAACTGCTAAATTGAATTGACGATGACGGTTGTTGCAATTTGCAATAAAGTATGCAACCAGCCTTACAGGAAGTAGTCAGAAAGACATTCCACAGGGGCGGATGTTCAAAAATCGCGCGCGAAATTCGCCACCAGATGTCACTCGATTCGTGCGTCGTCTGCTAAAACATGTTTATCCAAAGGAATAAAGAAAACAATTATTGAAATCTTATTATTCCGCTGATTAATTTATATTGAAAAGAACTAGGAAATTAGTCTTAAAACAGTAGTCGAACTTTATTAACAAAGCATAACAAAGGTAAATATACAACTATATACAACTTTTTATCGCAATTAAATACAATTAAATAATAATTACTAGCTATGTAGGTTTTTTCCTTCATGGAGTGCAAGCATTCCATGATTATCAATTTCGACACAGAAATTAGAGTACTGGTTACACTAGTCTCCATAATTAAATATACGAAACGATAAAATAATAATTTCTTTTTTTTCTATTTTTATTATTGATTACGGGGTATTTACTATAACCGGTAAGCAATTGGCGCGTACGAAGCAAAGAAGTAAAAATGTACCATTTTTTTTACCTCTTTGAATTAAAAATGACGCAAAATAACTTCAAGGAGAATTAGATCCTTGACATACATCACTTAATAATGCCTCTCTCCAATTATATTGTATACATGAAAATTTCTTCAATCTGAATACAAATTACACGAAAATTATAACAGAAAAAAATTTCGCTATCCTTTGTGAAAGTAATCTCGCGATGTAATGAGAGTAAAATATTATTATTTTATAAACTCATTATATAAAATCTCAAATTCTCAATTTAATATTATCTCTTATAATTGAAAATATTCTTCACTTTTTCGCTTTGTTTTCAAAATACATTTTGAATAAATAAATTTCGATATTGTATTTAAATATTAAATTTAATTAATTAAAATAATTTTTAATTCTTGAAAGAATTTTAAATATTCAAAAGTATTTATTTGATCGAAAATATTTAATTTTGAATAGAAATATTTTATTTTTTTTTCATTTTACAGGGTTTAAAACCGGTTTTAGATTAGAGGATTAGACATTTTTTTGAAGTAGAAATTTTGACTCTAACGGTATAAATAGTCGCACGAATAATTACAATAAAATTGATTCAATAATAATGAAAAAAGAACTTGGTAATTATTTCTTTTTATTCGCTAGTATAGTATTTATATATAATAGAGGAGAGAAGTTCATTAAAATATTTTTATCTTCGCATGAATGGAAATTAGCGAAAATAAAAAAAGTTTACTTAATGACTCAATCACTCGCGTGGTGTGAAAAATAATAGTTGTACAGAGAGTGCATTGAATGAAAAAAAAGGTTTGCATTAATAATGAAAGAAAGTTAATGAAAAGTTTGCAAAGAAGTAAATTATTCGAACAGACGTAAAAAATTCTTGTAAAACATAAAATTCAAACCACAAAAAAAAAACAAAATAAAAGTATTAAAGAAAAAGTATCTTCGTTTCTTCGGGAAACTTTGGTCGTGATGCCGTTACTGGCTGAATCTCCTGTCACTTAATTCTTCTCTTTTCAACACGTTTCGATTCAGCATCTTTTTCCCTTTACTCATTTTAAAACCGATCTTTTCCCACTCTCGGCGAATTCGACGTTGTGACGTAGCACCTCGTGTTAGAAATATTTGGATTTGCCTACTTTTTCAGTTTGATTTTTGTTTGCGTCGGATTTGGTGCTTTAATCATTTCGATATTAATATTCTTTTAACTATATATTTCACGTGTAATTTTGATTTTTTTCTGTTTCTTTAAGAGAGAAAGGTGAATTTACCAAAAACAAAAAATATAGAGAGCAATGGCAAGTTCAGATGTGGCCAATTTTTTCAACGAGAAAAACGTGTTCATCACTGGTGGTACCGGCTTTCTAGGAATTTGTGTTATTGAAAAATTACTTCGATGCTGTCCAGGTGTCAATAATATTTACGTTTTAATTCGACCGAAAAAAGGCAAAGAAATTCAAGAGAGACTCGAGGAATTGACGAAAAATTCGGTAAGTCGCAAAAGTTTTATTTCCAAAAAAAAGGCGAGAGAGATTTTACTTTTTTTTCTGGAAAAAATTATCAATTTATTTTTCTAGATATTTCCCTGATAGTATTTTATATTTAAATTAAATAAGCCAAAATTCTATTCAATTATTTATATTTTATTTATGTAGGTATTTATTTATATATTTATTATTTAATTTATTTATTTAATTCTATAACAATTTATTGAAACTTCAGCCTTTTGGCCAGAAAGTAAACGTGGTTTAATTTATTAATTTAATTTGATTAAAAAAATTTTTTTTTAAATCAAAAATCAAAAAATTTTAAATAAATTTTCTTAATAGGATATTTAATTTTATTTAGTTATTTTGTTCAAAAATATATCATTTCTGTAAAGCAGAAATAAATTCGATTCTATTATTTTATTTTCTTTATTTTCGTTTAGAGATTTTTGTCGATTATACTCAATTAGAGGTATTAAAAGATAAATTATTTGAAAAATGCTTAAACTCTGGTTGAATCTTCATTAAATATTTTCCATGCTTTACTGTTTATTTATTTAAATCGTAGTTTGTTGTTTTTTGTCCTAAAAGGTATTTAGCTGTCGATTAGCAGAAATCTACAATTCAAATTGTTCAATTATTAAAGCAATTTTAAATAGTCATGGCACACCTTTTCTCATTGTGATACCAAAGTTCAACGGCACTAATTATTACATAATGTTTATACATTTATTTCCATCTTCCATTCGATTAAATCTCTAGGTCAATGTTATTTTCATAATTCAAACATTTTTCTAAATTCTAAATTTTCAATTTTTTTTACATTAGAAATCGTTTTTGATTTTTTAATTCCTACGTTTTTCAAATTATTAGTTTGTTATTTCATTTTTTTCAAATTGAAAAGAAAGAATTAAATTTTCAAAAACTACGTTTTTATTGATATTAATTGTTAGAAATGTAATATTTAATTTATTTGGTTTAATGTTTTATTTGTCAGGGTTTCTACAAGTCATGGAAAACCTGGAAATCATGGAAATCTCATGGAATTTCTAACCGGATCATGAAATTTTTTTAGTTTCTTTTGTAAACCCGTGTGATTGAAATTCGCACTCCTTTATTACTCCCTGACAATTTACTGACCTTAAAATTACTTTCCCTAACAAAAGTCTTTTTACAGAGAAAAATATTAATGTTTGCGGAAAATGAGTAAAATTTATGAATTTTAACCATTTTTTCTAAAAATTACAATTATAACCCTTTCTGAATTTAATTATTTTCTACAATTTTCAACTAAACTTCATCTCTGAATCAATTAATTTAAATAATTTTCCAAGAGTTCTTCTACAATTCAATTATTTAAATACATTTTAAACTAAATTTTTTATAATAATTGTGACTCTCCATAGTTTTTTCTTAAGTTATTAAGGTAAAATATTTTCAAAAAATTATAATAAAGAAATTATTACAATTAATTTTTAAAAAATATTTTAAAATAATTTTTCAACGATAATAGTTTCCAATTTTGAAAAATTTTCAAACAATTAAAATTTGGTAAAATCTTTTAAAAATAATTGAATTTTTGAAAAGTATAAATAAAAATGTTCAAATTTTTGAAGAATTTTAATTATAAACAGGACCATGATTTCTCAAAAATTTTAATAAGTCCAAAAAGTAAATTTTGAATCTTAAAAAATTATTACAAAACAATTCTAATAATTAGTTTTTAAAAATATTTTATTAATGTAATTTTTCGAAAATAATTGAATTTTTGTATAAATTTTAAAAAAATGGATTTTATGATGAATTTTAATTAAAAATTTTGAACATTATTGTTTTCTCCAAAATGTTAAAAATAATTCTAAAATGTTATTATTTTTGGAAATATGTAATTAAAAATATTAAAAATATTGAATTTTAAAAAAATTAGAAGCTAATTTTCATTTTTAAATTTACCTTTAAAGATTTTTCATTAAAATTTTTGATAATTTAATTATTTTTAAAATTTGCAATTAAATTCTTTAGAAGTTTATTTCCAAAAATTGTACCAAAATACTTGAAGTAATTTAATTATTATCAATTAAATTTTACAAAATTTTAACTAGGTATTATATTCAAAAATAATTTTTGATAGATTTGTTTATAGTTATTTTTCGCATTATAAAAATCAAAATAAGTTGTGTTAATTATGTTAGTGTTTAGTTTATTTTAATAGAAATATTAAGAAATGTTGAAATTTCGCAGGTATTCGAGAGAATTAAGCGAGAGAATGGCGAGAATCTCTTTAAAAAATTAATCCCTGTCGCAGGAGATGTTGGAGAGGAGAACTTGGCTCTTTCGGCTAATGACAGATTGACATTAGTGGAACATGTCAATATTGTTATACATTCTGCAGCAACATTGGACTTTGAAGCCGATTTAAAGAGTACTGTCAATATTAATTTATTGGGCACTCGACGTGTCGTTCTCATCTCGCAGGAAATTCGCGATCTTAAGGTAAAAAAGTTCTTTTAATTTAGTTTTCCTATTAATTTAAATTCTTTTTTTTAATTTTCGATTCAATTCGATTCCAATTTTAATTCAATTAAATTTCAATTCAATTCGATTTCAAATTTGATTAAATTTCGATTTTAATTTCAATTTCGTAATGTTTTCTTTCCGGACCGAAGTATTGATGGAATTATTTATTTATCTTTTAAATATGACATAAGTGAATAATTTTCACTGGCAAATATTGCACAAAATTTATTTTTCATTTTCTATTCAGGCGTTGGTTCATATTTCAAGTGCTTATGTCAACTCGGTAATGAATGAAGTCCAAGAGAAACTCTATCCTCCTCCTGCAGACGTGAAGGAATTTCTGAAAATGGTCGAAAGAACGGACGATCAAGTTTTGGTGGAAGAGACAAAAAATATTATTAAAGATCATCCCAATCCGTACACTTTCACAAAGCATTTGGCCGAACATGAAGTCGCGAATTCCAATCTACCTGCCACGATTCTTCGCCCCTCCATGAGTAATACACTTTTTTGCAATTTGTCCCCTTTTTAATAGTCACAATAGATTTTTAACCTCATAAAAGATTTTTAACCACACTGAAAAAAGAAATAAAGTAACTTTTACTATTTACAAAGTAAAACCTTAACTGTTTGGAATTTCTGCGCATTTCCTGCAATTTTTACTATTTTCGAAGTAAAATTTACTACGTTCGAAATAAATTTTACTATTTCCAAAGTCAATTTTAGTAAAGTTAGAAAAATTTACTTCGGAGGTAGTAAAATTTACTCTGGAAATAGAAAAAATTGACAGAAATTCCAGTTCAGGTTTAGAAAAATGTTAGTAAAAAGTTTAGTAAAAATTACAATTTACATTTTTTTTCGTGCAGATTATCAAATATTTTTTTCCAATTTGTTCGCTTTTTTCTGGTAGTCATAATTTAAACTATTTTTTAAATATTTAAACTATCAGATTATTAAAATATAAAAATATCAAAAGAGAGAGTTAAAAAGTTACAATCGAAATATTGCGTTTTTTTCTTTAATTTTTAGTGTAAAGTGTATGGTAAAGATAGAATAATTTTTGCAGTTACCGGAGCTTGGAACGAACCAGTGCCAGGATGGACAATTTCGAAGAATGGACCACAAGGATTTTTGATGGGAGCAAGTAAAGGAGTCGTGAGACGTTTGCCGATTGCACAAGATCTCATTTACGACTACATTCCTGTTGACATTGTTGCAAATACTATTCTTGTCGCTGCCTACAATGTTGGTCGAGAGAAGTAATTGATATTTCTTAAATTTCACCATTTTTCCCAAGATTCACTTATTTAAGTGTTAATTATATTTAAATTTATTCATGACGCAGTGTTTTTATCTTTTTAAAAACAGTTTACAAAAAAATAATTACCACTTTCTTATTCATAATTTGCGGTCATTGTAAATCATTAGATTATTTTTTCCTTATGTTTATTTATCTTCTATTATTAAATAGAAATGAATGTCTCTAGAGTTCTCCACTTTCAAATGAATGAAATTTATTTATTTCTTCTTCAAATTTAAATTTTATTACAATTTTTGTCAGGCGTTAAGAATTAATTTCTCTTATATTGTTTATTTTAATTAGTGTTAAATAATTTTAGAAAAATAATATAAAATATTATAATATTGTATTAATTTTCTTTTAATTGTTTGGGTATTAATTTCGTAAAATTAATTTTCTTTTTCATTTTCAGAAACAAAGGACTGAAAATTTATCACTGCACGTCGAGCACGTGCAATCCATTTAGATGGGAAATGGTAGCGCCGAAAATTGACAAATTTCTACACAAATATCCACTTCGCAGTGCTGTTTGGTATCCTTCTTTGAAATTTTTACCATCTCTTTTTTGGTTTAGAATTTCCGCCTTCTTTTTGCACATGATTCCCGCATATATTTTGGACACTGTGACAACAGTGGCCGGTGGTAGACCGATGTAAGTTCGAAATATATTTTTTCTGTATTTTACGTAATTTTAAAGTAGGTACTACTAAAATTTAAATTCAAAAACAAAATTTAAAAGAAATTTAAAATTTTCTAAAATTTGAAATTTAAGAAAAATCAGAAAAAGATTAAAATCATCCATAAGTTTTGAACGTTCAAATGAACGAAATATTGTTTATTAAAAATATTTTTATAAAATCGCTGCTAGCAGCAATAAAAATTACAAACAAATTTTACATTTAGAAACTTTAGAATTAATTTTTTTTCAATAGAGACACAAAAATTTATTTTGAAGAAGAAATAAATGAATTTCGTCCATTTTGAACACTCGGAACTTTAGGATCATAAATTAAAATATCAAAAACAAAAATAAGAGAATAAAATAATTGTAAAATCTGAATTGTAAAACGTTTATAAATTTGCTCTTCATTGAAAATTTATTGATTGCAGTTTGGTTCGCCTTCATACGAATGTAAATAGATCACTGGCTCTTTTGGAGAAGTTCATCTTCACTGAATGGAAGTTTGACAACTCACGTACCCTTGAACTTCACGAATCTCTTTCAAAAGAAGACAAGGAGCTCTTTACATTGGACATTAGACCGTTAAATTGGGAATATTACTTTGTAGATTTGGTTCAAGGCGTAAGACAATATCTCTCCAAGGAGAATCCGAAACATTTGGAAAAGGCTCGATCCAAGGATAAAATGTAAGTACTTTTCCTGATAAAAAGGTAAAAAGAACTTTTATTTGACAAATAATTAATTATTATTCATTATCTTTAATATTTTATCTTTTATAATTACTTTCGAACTTTATGGCTTTTATGTAATTTTGAGATATTTTTGCTTAAAAATAACTAAATAATTAATTAATTAATTAATTAATTAAACTAAATAATACAAAATAATTCAATTCAAATTCAATTTTAATTCAAATTAAAACACAATCCTTTTTCTCTATGAGGAAGAAAAATTCAAAAAGTTCGAGAAGTTCACAACATTTATGATCAAGGATTGAAAAAAAAATATTTTTCATGCTGAAAACAATAAAATATTTTGTTTACTTTTTTTTTAAATTGCCGATCAAAAAAGTATTTTTTTTATACAAAAATGTATACAAATTGAAATAGAAAAATAATTTTTCTTTTAAATCGTTGATTAAAAACGTTATGAACTTGTCAACAAAATAATTCAAAATGAAATGATTTTTATAAAGTTATAAACGTTCAAATGAATGAAATTTTTTTGTTTAGACATTTTTCAAAATTATTATTTAAACTATCAAATGTTACGCACATGTTCAATTTATTATTATTATGCAAATTGCAAAATTTTTATTTTCAAGTATAAACATCAATTTTTGAAATGATTACAGATTCAAAACTTAAAAAAAATTCAATTATTAACGAATTTACTAAATACTTATTCTTGCTTATTAATTTCAAAAATTTTAATAAAATACTTCGCAAGAATTCAATTATCTTCATTAATAATAACATTCTTCGTATGTAAGAATTCAATTATTTTTATAAATAGTAAAATTTTTTGCAAAAATTTTAATTATTTTTAAACAAAATTTTAATAAAATTTCTTTCACTTTTGCTTTCTTAATTTGTTATAAAATATATCGAAACAATTCAATTTTATTTATAAATAGTAAAATTCTTTGCAAAAATTCAATTATTTGTAAAATAATTTTAATAAAATTTCTGGAAAGAATTCCATTTTTAAAAAATTTTTAATAATATTTATCGAAAAAATTCAATTATTTTCTAAGATTTTAATAAATCCTTCAAAGCAATTTTAATTATATTTATAAATAGTAAAATTCATTGCAATAATTCAATTATATTCAAAACAATTTCACGAAAGAATTCAATTTTTTTCTAAAATTTAAATAAAATTCAATAATTAAATGTTCAAATTCAATTGTATTTCACTGTCTCGTCCTTCTAGATCATATATACGTAGTACCGGAGTACTGCTTGTTCTGCCACATCAATTTTAAAAAACAAAAGTTTTTCCCGCTACCAATAGGTGTCTACCGTTCCACTTCCGGTTTCTCCCTCGTTTCGTCATTACGTTGTATTGTGCGTTCTGTTACACATCGAACATAGTGATATCATTTTATTTAATAGTGGAAAGTAAAAATGAGTTCATCGTCTGGATCCGAGTCGGGGAGATACAAGAAAAGTCGCTCCAGGAAGAAGAAGGCGTCGAAAAGAAAGGTTGAAAAACTAAGAAAAGATAAGAAAAGAAGGAAGCGTGAACTGACGCGTAAGAGAAGCTCGACGCCATCTTCCACAACCTCAGAAAGTTCTTCACGAAGTCACAAGTATTCAAGGAATAAATACTCGTCACACCTTCAGGAGAGGAAGCGTGATCGTGATCAAAGGAAATTGCATCGTGAATACAAATCTCGTGGAGATTCAGGTACTGAGCGTTCTCTGCGAGAGGCGTCTTGCCTGAATCCAATCGAAAAGGGTAACGAAGAACGGCGCCCGAGAGGCCCGCCACGTTTATCCAGAAGACGCTCACAATCAAGAAGCCGCTCTCGATCAAGAAGTCGCTCTCGATCAAAAAGCCGCTCTAGATCAAAAAGCCGCTCTCGATCAAGAAGCCGTTCCAAAGTTGGAAGTCCAGATCGTTCATCCCGAGAGTCACATTCAAGGCGTGACGAGTCTCAACAAAAGTCGGTAAGGAAGGAAACCGACCTCTTAAAACTTCTTGAAGAGGGCGCTATTGAGGAAAATACCGTCAGTGCTGCCATCCATGTCTCGATTGCCCAATTATGGAGCAATTTTTTGGCAACAGGTCTGTCAAAAGAAGCAAAACAAACATTGGTAAAAAAATTCCCACCAGCTGAGAATTGCCAAGCAATGGGTGCTCCGCGTCTTAACCCCGAAATAAAAATGAACATGACCTCAACAGCGGTGAGGAAAGACCAATATCAGGTCGCATCTCAAACACAGTTATGTGCCGCTATTAGTGCAATCGGCAAAGTGCTCTCAGTGATTTTAGATGCAAATATAAATGCCAAAGAACTAAACTCCAATGACATCTCTGGCATTTTCGAAGATATTTGTGACGTGGGTAGGCTTTTAACAGACCTTCAACATGAAATGTCAATGACTCGCAGATCGTTTATAACACCATCGTTTAGTTTTCGATTAAAATCAATAGCGGATGAGACGAGAGTTGACACTTGGCTTTTTGGTGAAGGGCTAGCTGAAAAGCTCAAAGCGGCAAAGGAACTGGAAAAATCAGGGAAGGAAATTTCCAAAACACCTCTACACCAATCCAACACCAGCCAAAATATCAAGGGTAAATCGTCAGCACCGAAGGCTCCTTTAAACTGGAGAGCCCCCCCCAAGAAGAACTACTCGAACAACAACAAGAGTTGGAGGAGGGGGGGCTATCAGGGCAACAGGAACGTTCGGAACCAGGCACCGTTTCAACAGAAGAGATAAGGGTAAGTTCTAAGACAGCAGGTCGACTGCGATTTTTTATGAAACAGTGGCAAAAAATAACAAATGATCCTTTTATTATTAATTGTGTTCAGGGATATTTTTTGCCTTTTGATAACGAACCTAAACAGATGTTTACCCAAATTATTCGCTCACCTTCACATGAAGAAGGAGAAAGGACCTTGGTTGCAATAAGTAACCTGATTAAAATAGGGGCGGTATTAAAGTGCAAACAGTCACAAGATCAATTTCTATCCTCTTATTTTTTAAGGCCAAAGTCAAACGGCGATGACCGATTTATATTAAACTTAAAAAATTTGAATAAATTTTTGACAGCCCCGCATTTTAAACTCGAGGACATGAAAACTGTCCTACGCCTCCTACACAAAAATTGTTATATGTCAGTACTTGATCTTACAGATGCTTACCTCATGGTCCCGGTCGCCAAAGAGCATCGCAAGTTTCTCTGTTTCAGTTTTAGGGGAAGTATATACCAATTTACAAGCATGCCATTTGGTCTCTGTACAGCACCATTTACGTTTACTAAGCTGATGAAGCCAGTCATCCAAAAGTTAAGATGTCAAGGCATAATTATGGTAATATATCTAGATGACATTCTCATCATTGCTGAATCGGAAGAACAGTGCAGCAGGCATGTTCATGTAGCGCGGACTTTGCTAGAATCATTAGGCTTCATAGTTAGTGAGAGTAAAAGTCAGCTTCGACCTGTACAGAGATGTGTATTTTTAGGTTTTATAATAGACAGTAAAAAATTTCAATTAGAATTGACAGACAAAAAACGAAGTTCAATTTTTCATCTCATAAAGAAATTAATTGTTAACAAAAATTGTAAAATAGAGGAACTTGCGAAGCTCATTGGCACTCTAATTGCTGCGTGTCCCGCCATCAAGTATGGCTGGATGTACACGAAAAAACTCGAGCGAGAAAAGTTCTTGGCTTTACAGAAAGTCAATAATAACTTTAAGGCTCGAATTACAGTCTCGGACGTAGTGCAAGATGACCTGTCATGGTGGGCTGAAAAAATTAAGTTCTATTTTAATCCGATCAGAGAACTTAAGTTTCGGAAAGAAATATTTACTGACGCTTCCTTGACAGGTTGGGGAGTTTTTTGCAAGGGAGAAAAAGCATATGGGTTGTGGACAGCTGAGGAGCGTAAGATGCATATAAATGCACTCGAACTCACAGCTGCTTATTTGGGTCTAAAATGCTTCGCTAAACAGGATGGTAATTGCGAGATCTTGCTTCGTATGGACAACACTGTTGCTATTTCATATGTCAATAGAATGGGAGGTATTCAATACCCACTATTGACAGAAATTGCCAGAAAAATCTGGACCTGGTGCGAAGAGCGAGACCTGTGGATCTATGCATCATACTTACCATCCAAAGAGAACAAAGAGGCAGATGAGGGTTCGAGAGTACTCCCACTAGAAACAGAGTGGGAATTATCACATTATGCATTTCAAAAGATCACAAAAGAGTTTGGATCTTTTGAGGTGGATCTCTTTGCATCGCGTGCCAATGCTAAATGTAAAAAATATGTTTCTTGGCTTAGAGACCCAGATTCGATTGGCATAGATGCATTTACACTAAATTGGGGAAATATCAGGTTCTACGCCTTCCCACCTTTTTCTGTAATACTTAGAGTACTACAAAAAATCCAAATAGATCAGGCGGAAGGAGTAGTTGTAGTCCCTCTCTGGCCCACACAACCGTGGTATCCACTGTTTATGTCGTTATCAATTTCTGACACAATTTGTTTCGAACCTCATACTAATCTCTTATCTTCACCACACAGGGAGACGCATCCTCTACACCACACACTTTCCCTGGTAGCAGCGAGATTATCAGGGAAGCGTTCAAGGCGAGAGGAGCTACGGAGGAGGCAGCGGAAATAATGCTTCATTCAATATCCGAAGGAACATTGAGACAGTATTCCAAGCCAATCCAAGTCTGGTGGGAATTCTGCCAGAACGAGGGAAATAATCTTTTTCAAAGCAGTACTTCGGACGTTTTAAAATTCTTAACTGAAACAATGAAGCATACAAAATCTTTCAGCGCTGCAAATACTTACCGTGCTGCACTGTCATTGATCATGGGGAACGAGTTGGGAAACAACGCCCAAATTTCAAGGTTCTTTAAAGGAGTATCCACTCTGCGACCTCGCAGACATAAATACGATGTCACGTGGGACCCGAAACCTGTTCTGGATAAATTGTCGACCTGGTATCCCAACGAAGAGCTGACACTCGAAGAATTGACGAAAAAATTGGTAACAATATTGGCCTTGATTACCGCTCAGAGGATACAGACTCTCTCAGCAATTCAACTCGAGAACGTTTACCTCGAGAAGGAACCAATTTTAATCAAAATTACGGACCATATCAAGACGACAGGAAGATCGGAATATCAACCCATATTAGAGATTCCTACTTTCTCTGAGCAGCCTAATTTATGTGCAGCATCGGCACTGCGAACATATATTTCCAAGACAGCTGAACTGAGGACGAACACACTTAACAGGGGCTACCTCTTCCTAACACATAGGAAACCACATAACTATGCCTCTTCGCAGACCATTAGTCGCTGGATAAGAGAAACGATTGAAGCCTGCGGAGTTGACACGACAGTCTTCTCAGCACAAAGCACCCGTCATGCATCGACTTCTGCAGCAGCTTGAAAAGGTACCAACATAGAGGTTATTCGTCGGGCGGCTGGATGGTCGGCAACATCATCAACCTTTGCAAGGTTCTATAATCGTCCAGTATCCAATTCCGAATCATTCGCATTAGCATTTCGCTAACTTTTCTTCTCTTTTATAATGTTTCATTTTTTCTTTCTTATTTACTACTTATATTATTTCACTAAGATAATTATTACTTATATAATTGTATTAACATTAAAATGTTGAATTTAAATACAATCTCTACTTGCGGAAAGCATAAAGTCGCATTCTTCTTTAAACATCTACGTATATATGATCTAGAAGGACGAGACAGTGAAATACAATTGAATGGATTGAACGAACTTACCTTAAGTGAAGATCAATCCAAATTGTATGAGCTGTCTCGTCCGAATAGATCACTCCCACCTCACCCAGCATATATAAAATATTCCCGGATGCGATTTATGCTAAACTTTAAAATATAATGACGAAACGAGGGAGAAACCGGAAGTGGAACGGTAGACACCTATTGGTAGCGGGAAAAACTTTTGTTTTTTAAAATTGATGTGGCAGAACAAGCAGTACTCCGGTACTACGTATATATGATCTATTCGGACGAGACAGCTCATACAATTTGGATTGATCTTCACTTAAGGTAAGTTCGTTCAATCCATTCAATTATTAACCATGGTGGCCACATGTCAGTAAAACAAAATTATTGTCAGTAAAGTCAAAGAAATGTCAGTAAAACAAATTTTTTATCAGTAAAGTCAGAGAAATGACAGGAAAAAAATTTTTTTTCAGGGATATTAAGAAAATTGAGACTTTTTCAACTTATTTTCAAAAATTGCGAATTTTTCAACTTGTTTTCCTAATGTTGTAACAAAATACAAACATTTTTAGTATAAAATGCAACTTATTTCGATTTTTGTAGTGCGAAAAAGAACTATAAACAAATCTTTCAAAAATTATTTTTGAATCATTTCTTAAGATATGTAATTAAATTTTTCAAATATATCTGTAATAAAATTTTTATAGAAAAATTGAAATTTTGTAAAATTTAATTGAAAATAATTAATTGTTTTCAAGTATTTTATTAGAATTTTTGAAAATCAAGTTTTCAAGAATTTTAATATCAAATATGGAAAATAATTTAATTATCAAAAATTTTTAATGAAAAATTTTTAAATTTAAATTTAAAAATGAAAATTAATGAAAGTTAGCTTCTAATTTTTGAAATTTCAATATTTTCAGTATTTTCAATTACATATTTCCGAAAATTAAAATACATACATACAAAAAATAATAACATTTTAGAATTATTTTTAACAATTTGGAAAAATAATTATGTTCAAAATTTTTAATTAAAATTCATCAAAAAAAATAATTAGAATTTTTAAATTATACAAAAATTCTTTTAAGAAATTCAATTATTTTCAAAAAATTCCATTAAAATATTTTCAAAAACTAATCCTTAGAATTGTTTTCTTATAATTTTTTAAGATTCAATTATCTGCGAACAATGTAAATAAAAATTTATAAAAATTTACTGTCCTATTTGTAATTCTTCAAAAATTAGATTATTTTTATTTATATTTTTCAGAAATTATTTTAAAATATTTTTAAAAAATTATAATTGGAAGAATTTCTTTTTTTTTAATTTTTTGAAAATATTATGCCTTGATAACTTTAGAAAGAAACATAGACAGTTACAATTTACATATTAAAAAAGTTAAGAAACAAAAAAGCAAACAACAACTAACTTGAAACTGCGAACACATTAGAGAAATACAATTAATATAGAAGATAGAAGATAATAAAATTATAAATTAGTAGTTTAAAAATAATTAAAAGTAAACAGCTAAGAATTAACATTTTTAATATACAAAATATTTTTTTTTGCAGGAAAAAAGTTAAATTGTCATTCATTTGAAAGTTCGAAACTTTAGGAACTATTATAGTAATTATTATGAATAGATTATTATTAATAAATTTATTTACATTTAGGTTGATGATGTTCCACTTACTTCTACAAGCGGCTTTGTTAGCACTTGTTTGGTGGATTACCAAAATCGTTCTTCGATCAACGTGGACGAACACCGGTTTAATAGTGCCTCTGGTCTATGTTCTCTTTAATCAGCTTTAAATTTATTTCCATTAAAAGTTTATTAATCATAAAAACAGCATTAACGAAATTTGTCAGATTTGATAAGAAAGAAATTATATTTTTATAATTTCAAAACATTTTGATCATCAGTTTATTACATTTCGGGTGTTTGTGTTGATTCTAAAAGAACGTAATTAAAAATAAGTAAAAAAAAATTAACATTTTTATTCGAGGAATTTAAATTCAGACGATAAACTTTTAATTCTTTAAGCTAAATTATTTAAACTGATTAGTTTTAAACTAAATAGTTCTGGACTGAATAGTTTTAGACTAAATAGTGTAAAGTAAATAGTTTTATACTAAATAGTGTAAAGAATCAAAAGTTTATTATTCAAATACGTTGACAAAGAATTTTTGTTTCTTTTTCAATTAATAAAAAATGTTCTCTATTGTTTAATTTACAAATAATAAACTTAAAGAGAAATTATTTTTAATAATAGAGGTGAAGGCATTAGATTTTCCTTAGTAAGTCACAAATAATGTTCGTTGATGTCTTTTTTAAAATGACAAAGAAAGTGAAAAGAAATTTCCTAAAGTGGCATTTGATTTACATTTTTTTTTTGCAAAGAATTTTTGTTTTGCACGAACATTCCTTGTTTTTTGGAAAAAATTTCTAAAATAAAGCTGATATAAAGTGAATATAAAACCTCAAGTTTAATATATTTTTAAGAACAATATCTTTAAATGAGTAAAAAAATATATATTTATTCATAAATTCGTTTTGTACTTTAAAGATTGTTTATTTAATTTCTACGTTTGCCATTAGTATGTCTGAGTGTTGGTTAATGGTGTTATTTGCACATGAAATAATAAAGTAGCTTGTACTTTTTCATACAAATTTTCTTTGTTCTTTTCTTGATAAAATAATATATCGTTAACTTCATATAAAAGGCAAGAGATTTAAATTATATTTGATTTCAGTTTAGATATCACTTTGTGCACTTTAATTTCGTCTAATTAATTTTTTCCGATAAGCTTATACATTTCCATATAATTTTCTCTTTTTTCTCTTGATAAAATAAAATATAACGTTAACGTTGTATACGTAAAGCAAGAATTATTTTAAATAATCTAAAATTTAAAACAGTTCAGATATCACTTTTATGCATTTTTAATTTATTTAATCAATTTTTTTCCGATAAACGTAGTTTGTACTTTTTCATACAATTTTCTTTTTTTTCTTGTTAGAATAATATGTAATGTTAATTTTGCATACGTAAAGCAAGAATTTTAAATAATCTTAAATTTAAAACAATTTGCTTAATTGATTTACAAATAATTTATAATTCGATTTTTTTCTAATATTTTCGTAAAATTTCTCTTTTTTTCCGAAATGAAAATATTTTAGCTAATTCCCTTCAAATGTACAAATCTTTCTCTAATGGCAATATTATAAGTAAGTAGTAGTTAAAAAAATCATTCAAATAATTGAATCAGTTAAAAAAAAATTACACTAGTCAATTTTTGTCGAAATTGATTTATTTTTCGTTAAAAAATTTCCCTTGTAGCTAAAAAATCAAGTTTGAAACAAAAAAAATTGTTTTCAACGCAAAGTGACTTATGTAATTTTTTCTCTTAACGATTCATTGCAATTTTTAATAATAAATTTTCACTATTTTATTAAAATTTGATTTTTATTATTCTAGGCGAAAAGGAGCATTTCAGTAATTAAATTTTAAAAAAGAACAATTAGATTAAAAAGAGTTGAGAAAATGAAAATTGAAGACTGAAAGTTGGAAATTGAAAACTCGAAATTGAAAATTGAAAATTGAAAACTGGCAACTCGAAATTGAAAACTGAAAATTGGAAATTAAAAATCCTGATAATTATGAAGTACAAAAAAAAATCATCATTTCGATTAAAAAATGGATCTGAAAAAAAAATTATTATTTATATCGAAGGTAAACGTATAAAATGTCAAATATTGATTTATAAAAAAAAAATCTATTTCTTTTTTTGTTTTCTTTCACTTTTTACTAAAATAAATTTTCTTGTGGGGAGATTTTTTCCAGGCAATGGAAGTATTGAATATCCATATCGACCCTAACGCATGGATGTAAGCAAGATTAAAATGTGAAGGTATACATAAAAGCGTTGTCCGATCAGAGAATGTTAGTCAGTCGGCTCAATAAGTCTCTTAAATCTGGACTCCCCGAAGAGAAGCATCGACAACGTCATTTAATTTGTTATCTCTTAGTCACACAGTCGTCAAATCAATCAGTTCGTTAGGATTGAACTTCAAAATTTAATTTTCAAAAGGTCAGTTTTTGCATTTATTTATTTTGATGAATTATAAAGTAAAAAAATTTTATTTCGATGAATTATAGAATGAAATATTTTTATTTTGATGAATTGTAAAATTCAGTATTTTTATTTTTGTTCAATTATAAAATATTTTTATTTAATTAATTCAAAGTAATTTAAATTAGTTTCAATTATTAATTTTTTTCGGGGTATTTCTTCAATTTAATATTCGTTTATTTTTTCAATTCAAAATTTAATGTATTTCTTCCATTTGTTATTTCAATATTATTTAATCTATTTCTTCAATTTAATATTTCAATATTATTTAATCTTTTCAATCAATTTGATCCAATTTTTTTGTATTTAATATTTTTTATTTAATTTTTTAAAAAGATTTATTTTTAAATTGTTTTAATTTAAAAGATTTAATATTTGTTAATTTAGTTCGAATCTCTACAATTTTTCCTTTTTTTTCAAAGTTTTAATAATTAATATTTTAAAAAAATATTTTTATAATTTGTTACTTTTGATTGGAGTTATTAATATTATTTTATTTATTTAATAATTACTATTTTTTATCCACTTTTACTTTTTACTAATCAATTTTCTTGTGAGATTCTTTTTATAAAAAAATATAAATTTTGTTTTATAATCGAAATTATTTTTTCTCTCCTTAAAAAATTTAGAGAAAAATGAACTAAATTAACAATTAATTGAAATTTTTTTATTTCTTAATGGATTTATTTTTTTTCATAATTAATGATTTATGATCTATAATTATTATTATCATTTAATTATTCAATTTTGTAATTTTTATTTAATTGTAATTTAAAATTAAATAAGAAGCGCAAATGAAGTCGAAGAAGAAGTGCAATTAATATTATTTAGAGAATGTAAATTTATTATAAAGGATAAAATTGATTAAAGGATAAAAAGTATTAAAAGTAAACTAAATGGTAGCATTTCTGATAAAATGAAATAATTTTGATAAAAACAGATAGCATGTAAGTAGAGTCTCATTAAAATTAAAGACATGTGCTTTTTTCTTGTTTAGAAAAAAGAAAATTGCAACTGAAATTTGTTTATAGATTTTTCCACACATAAAATTAATTTTACCATTTCGTTCAACTATAAGAACTACTTTTTATGAGATTTAGTGCACGCAGCAAATTTCGAAACATTTTATTTGTATTGGCCTCGAGGAGCATGTATATCTTTTGTGTATCAGAATGCACTTTCGCATTCAATGTGTTTATACACAACTTGATTCGAGTCTACAATATTCTTTTAAAGTGCAATTCACCAACTATGCAACGAGAGAGGAACATTTTTATTTCAAAATCAAAACATTTAAGAAAAAAAAAATGATTTTAATTACATATCAAAGGGAGCAAGGCTAATGGTTTCTTGTAATTCACAAGTCAAGCCTGTAAATATAAATTCACCAGCAGTTCAATAATTTCCGTCAAAAATAAATGTGTACGTAGAAATAGTGTCAATTTTTTAAATATTCAAATTAAGTTTTTTCCTCTCTCTCTCTCTCTACAATGTTTTAATTTACGAAAAAATGTAATTCGACTAAAGAATTTATTAATCAATTTTCAATCGTTTTGCAATTTTTTTCACATTTTATTTCGTTTAAACTATCTTTCGGTTTGATTTAATGGAAAAAAAGGATCGTTTTAATTATTGCTTTGCTTAATTGACAAAAATAATTTAAGACAATTTTTTCTTTATTTATTTAAATTGCAAAGAGCAAAAAGTTGAACCTTCGGAAATGTTAAATGTATATATGGGAATTTATTATTGACTCAATATGTAAATGTGGAAAATAAAGTTTTGTTTTTGCAATAATATTGAGAAAAAAAATCAGGGCGTCTAGTCGCGATAGACATTAATATTATTTTTTTATGAGCAGTTCTACTGTCGTCACATTTGGAAATTTTCTTTTTTATTTTTATTTCCGAAAAAAATAGAAGAAAAAAAAGTCTATTTTCAGATTTAATAATAAAACTAGCTAAAATAATTTAAATTATGAATTTTAGGTGAAAGTTTCGAAAATATTTAATATAAAAAAGCTTTTAACTGAAAAGTTTAAACCAAAGAAAAAATTAACGGAAAAGTTCTAATTAAATGAGAAATTCGAAAATTTCTATTTACTCTAAAATTATGAAATGCGTGAAAAGAAATTTATTTATTCTAAAAATTTCCATTTTTTCGTACCTATCAATGTAATGATGCTAAAGGAAATTTCGAAAAAAAATTAGTTCGTGTTAAAAAAACATCTTACTCACTTGATGGAAGAAAATGAAAATAAACTTTACTCGCCTAATTAGGTTTTGAAAAGTCGTTTACCTTTTAAATAAATAATACATTCTATTGACAACAAAACTTTATTTCACACAAGAAATGTAGTTTCATTTTATCTTTAAATTTATTAATTTAAAGTAATAAATAAAATTTAAATAATAAATAAAATTAAATAATAAATAAACATAAAAAATAAAATTATTAATATTTATTGAAATCAATGGAATTGGTGAAATTTATATCGAAATCAATAGAATTATTCAAATTTATCGAAATCAAAATTATTGTCAATTAAATTAATTATTTTTATTAACAATTTTCTTCGAAATCAATATGTTAATATAAATGATTAGCAAAGCAATAATTATAGTGATTTTTGTGAAGTAATTTTGAAAATAGAAAGTGAATTATAATTTTAAATTGGACGCAAGGGACAATAATTAGCATCATCAGAAATTATAGAAAAGATAATAATTTAAAGAAGAGGAAATTATTTTTTTTCTTTTTTTTTAACGATTAATGTCGATTTCTTTGGAATGTTGATGCATTCACCAATGATTTTCTATAAAAACATATACACAACATGATACAAACATAACAGTATAAAGAATATTACATCTTTCACTGTCACTTTTTTTCCGCCTTTAATCAGGAGCTCGTTACAAGTTTTGAAACAATAAAAAAAAGTTTTTCGTTTTTTTGTTTTCTTTTTACCTATGTAAAGAAATTTTTTAAGTGTTTGTCAGTTTTAAAAATTAGAAAATTTAATTTTTTTGTTTTTTTTTACTAGGAGCATTTTTTTGGGGTTTTTTTTTGTAATAATATTAGTTAATAAATCACCAAAACAAATGACTTTCTCCTTTTTTTCGACGAACTCTGAAGAATTAGTTTTTGAAACCGCTTTTTTGTAAATTTTCTATCAAAATTAAATACAATTAGAAAATTAAATTAAATAAATTAAAAAACATAAATTCTATTCAGTAGAGTAAAATAATTAAATTGAATTAAATAAATTTTTAAAAATTCAATTTAATTCAATAAATAACAAAAATTCAATTTAATTCAATAAATCAAAAAAATTCTATTCAGTAAAGTAAAATAATTAAATTGAATTAAATACATTTTAAAAAATAAATTCAAGAAATGAAAAAAAATTCAATTTTATTCAATAAATAAAAAAAGTTGGTTCAGTAAACTAAAATAATTAAATTGAATTAAATAAATTTAAAAAATAAATCGAATAAATTAAAAGAATTCAATTTAATAAATTAAAAGAAAAATAAACTAAATTCAATAAGCAGAAAAATCTATTAAACTTATTAAATTTTATTACCAAAATTAAAAAAATTAAATTAAAGTCCTCTTTGAATTACTTTAGAAGTTAATTTCAAATTTTAATAATTAAAGTTTATTCACTAAAAAATAAATTTTACATGCTTGTGGATTTTTTTAAATACATTTCCATACGGTAGTCAATTTACGTAAACGATGTAGTTTCAATATTTTTTTTATTTGTTGCTTTTCTTCCTTTTTTACCTCACTGAACCGGAATTATGCTCACCATCTCTACAAGTTCGCGCATTTTTTTCAATTCTTCTTAATTTTCATCAAACTATGAGAATTTTTGAAAAAACCAGTCTTTATGTTGTTTATCAATAAATTTCTTGAATGCCCTTTGAAAAATAAAGAGAAAAAAAATAAATTAACAGAAAAAAGTAACTGAAGAAAGAGAAAAAAAATTGAATTATTTTTTAATTACGATTCAAAAAAAAGTAAAAAAAAAGTCAATCAAGATTTTTTAATTATTTTCGAAAAAGTTAGTCAATCAAAATTATTATTATTAATGACCATGAATATTTTATGTAAGATTAAATAATTTCCTTAAACGTTACATGTATAAAAGTTTTGTTATTTTTCTTGTTTGTTAAATTATAAATAAAATGATGTCATAATTATTTTTGAATTCCTATTTTATAGACACCTTTGACATTAATTGCATATCCGCTTCTTGGGGGTGGGGAAGGGGGGAAATTCATTGAGATGAATGGATGAAACAATGTTGAATCATCATCATCATCGACTTCATTAGTTTCCGAAACGAAAGGTGACTTTGTAAAATATAAAAGATCGCGATTTTTTTTTATTTTCTTTTTTTTTGAAGAAGACCTTGAGGAACACAGTAAACGATTTCACATTGAACTAAGGACTCTCGGGTACTTATTTAACCCTTTTTTTATGTTTCAAAAATTATACCTTACATGCACTCTCACTTTTTTTTTTATTTGAAGAAAAACAAAAGTTGAATTAAAGAAAATTTATTTGATGAAATAAAAAATTTTTACTATACAATGTAGAAAATGGTGTTAATGAAGTTCTGCTAATTTTACAAAAAAGTATTTAAATAAAAGTGAATAATAAATATATGAAAAATAAATATATGCAAATAAAAATATAATTTGTAAATAATTTTTTCTATTTTTAGAAATTTTGTTTCTATTTTTTGGAAATTTATAATTATATATATATATATATAAGTTTATAATTAATTAGCTATAATTATAATTTATTATCTAGTTTGATTGTAAATGAATTTATTATTAATGAATGAATTTTTTGCAGATCAAATCATGGAACCAACAATACCAGAATGGTTCCGGGACAGAAATGTTTTGGTGACGGGAGCCACGGGATTTATGGGAAAAGTTTTAGTTGCCAAATTACTTCTAACTTGTCCGGAAATTGGGAAAATTTTTATCCTGATACGAGAGAAAAAGGATGTTAGTCCTCAGAACAGACTAAAACATCTTTTACAAGTGAGAAAATTTTATGCTTACTTCGAATTTTGTCAGTATAATATTATGAAAATTTAATACGTTTCTCAAATTTACATTCAAAATACTTTTTTTTAGATTTTAATTTCAATTTTTGAATTTTTATTCAAGTTTTAAACTTTAATTTCAAATTTTTTAAATTTTGATACAATTTTTAAATTTTAATTCAGTTTTCAAAGTAAATTTTTATTCTTTTCATTCTTGCTTTTGAATTTTTTCAGTAATTATGAAAATTTATTACTTAAATTAAATTTGCGCTCAAATTAATTTTTAAATTTTGACTCAACATTAAATTTTAATCCAATTTTTGAATTTTTGTTCAATTTTTAAACTTTAATTCCCATTTTTCAAATTTTGATACAATTTTTAAATTTTAATTCAGCTTTCAAAGTAAATTTTTATTCTTTTTATTCATACTTTGAATTTTCTCAGTAATTAAGAAAATTTGTTACTTAAATTAAATTTACGGTCAAATTAATTTTTAAATTTTGACTAAACACTAAATTTTAATCCAATTTTTTAAATTTTAATTCAGTTTTTAAATTCAATTTTTATTCTTTTTATTCCTACTTTGAATTTTATCAGTAATTATGAAAATTTTTTACTTAAATTAAATTTAGGCTGAAATTAATTTAAAAATTTTGACTCAGTATTAAATTTTAATTAATTTTAATACTTTAATTCAATTTTTAAATTCAATTTTTATTTTTTTTATTTCTACTTTGAATTTCATCAGTAATTATAATAATTTATTATTCAAATTAATTTTTAAATTTTGACTCAATTCCTTTAATTTTAATTCAATTTCTGTTTAATTCAATTTTTAAATTTACATTCGATTTAATATTTTTATTCTTCTTTTGAGTTTCATCAGCAATTATGCAAATTTAAGACATAAATTAAATTTTACATGCGAATTAATTTTTATATTTTAATTCAAGTTTTTAATTTGAATCTAATTTTTATTCTATTTTGAAATGTTAATTTAATTTTTTAATTTGAAACTAATTTTTATTTAGTTTATGAAAAATGTTAATTTAATTTTTTAATTTGATACTATTTTTTATTTGGTTTATGAAATTTTAATTTAATTTTTTAATTTGAAACTAATTTTTATTTAGTTTATAAAATTTTAATTTACAAATTTTTTTAGTTTGAAAGAAAGAACAATCTGCATTTTTTATCATGCAAAAAAAATGTGCCTACTTAGAAGAATTTTCATTGTTTTGATATTTCCCAATGTGAGATTTATATTGTGAAGAATCAAATTATTGATAATCTGAAAAATTGATGAGTCAAATGAAAAGGAAAAGTTTGTTTTTTTCTTATTAAAAAGTGATTAATGAAACTGGTTTTTAATTTTGAAAAATTTTATTATTTTACTTATATTTTGCGTATTTTTTTTAATAGAATGTATAAAATATTTTTGTTCTAAGAATTTTATATTGTCTAAGATATTGCCAATATACCAGTTTCCTTTTTACATAATTCTTCCTTAATTTATTTTATTTTAAATGTAAAATTATGTTAAAAATATTACGTTTACTTAAAACATGTAATTTTTGAAATTTAAAGGAAAATGTAATTAATATTTGAGATATTAAATTATTGCTCTCCATTTTTGAATACTAAAGTTCAGAAAGGTGTAGAATTATTTTTTTCTATATAGGAAAATAATAATAAGGAAAGTTGTTGTTTCCTTTGTATATTAAATTTAATTGTTTCTTGCAAAATTTACAACATTTTGAGATATCAATTTTAATAGCAATTTTAATAACAGTTTAAAAATATATTTGGTGAAAATTAATAACTTACTGAAAAGTGATTATTAACCGTTTTTATTCGTTCTGCGACCAAAAATGCTTTTTAACGAAATTTTTGTTTACCGTATAATTTTGCATTACATGAGTGGTAATTATTCCATTTTGGGTTTATTCACTTCTCACAGAATGATAAATGTTTTTCTATAAGATTATCAGTAAAAAAGTGAAAGCGATCCGGGTGAAAATTTGAATGCATAAATTATTTTTTACAAAAGAAAAATAATTCCTTTTTTTAACACTACATCTCAAGTGTTGTTTTCTTTCATTTTATTTATTTTTAAATTCAAATACAAATGAGATATTGTTTCAGAGAGTAATTGGAGGATTTTTGTTTTGATACATTTTTTTTTCATTCTTTTGCACTACATATTTGCATCGGTCTCTTTAACGCACAGGAGAAAGGAACTTATTGCGCGTAACTGAGTTATTTTATTTCGGTGTGATTTAAATTATCCACAGTATAAAAAAATTAAAAATAATTGCAAGCCTTGAGTTTTATAAAAAAGAGAAGGAGAGTCATAAATTATGTCTTTGCGTACAAAGAGTCATGAAGTCAGACACCAAAAGAGAAAAACAAAAATAATATCATGTGATCTCTTAAATCAATCTCTCATTGAAAAGAAAAAAAGCGACTCCTATTTTTTTCAATTTTAATTCAAGTTTGTTCAACATTGTTAAAGAAACTTGTACTGAGAATTAATTTGTACCAAAAAAAAATCTGACTTTCCTCAAATGACAAATTGTGACAAGTGTTTCAATTTGTTTCAATATATTTTTTTTGGGGGAAAAATAAATGGAAAAATAATCTTTTATTTTTTTTCAGCAAGAACCATTTAGAATACTGTCGGAGAATCATCCGGAGAGACTGAAAAAAATTATTGTTGTTAATGGCGATACAACAATTGAAGGACTCGGTTTATCACTTAATGATAAAAATCTCTTAATTCAAGATGTCTCGGTAACTTTTCACATGGCCGCAAATGTCAGATTTGATCTTCCTTTGAAAACTGCTGTTAATTTAAACACGAGAGGAACGGCTAATGTTTTAAAAGTCGTAAAACAGGTATTTTACTAGTTATTTTATTTTTTCAACAAAGTAATAATTTTTTTTAATTTATACCTATAATATACAAAATATTTTATTTAAACATACTCATTCAGTACATAATTATTTATAATAATTATTATATATAATATTATTATATTATATATAATAATTATTCAATTATTTTCGTAAATAATAAAATTCTTCTAAAGAATTCAATTATTTATAAAAATTTGTAATACAATTTTCAAAAGAATTCAATTATTTTCATAAATAAAAATATTGTTCCGGGAAATTCAATTATTTTCTAAAATTTTAATAAATTCTTTAAAACAACTTAATTATTTTTATGAATAATAACATTTTTCTCAGGAATTCAATTATTTTCAATACAGTTTTAATAAAATTCAATAATCAAATTTTTAATTATAATTATTAACAGATCTGTTTGTTTTCCAAAGTTGAAAAAATTCTTTGTTTAGTTCAATTATGTATTTTCAAATTTTTAAATTAAAATTATTAAAAAAACTACATTATTTTCAAAAAATTGTTATTAATTTTTCAAAAGAATTTAATTATTTTCAAAAATTCAACTAAAATTTTTTTAAATAATTTAATTTTCTATTATTAATTTTAATAAAATTTAATTATAAAATTATTAATTACAATTATTAACAAGCACGATTATTTTAAAAACTTGAATGAAATTCTTCATAAAATTCAATAATTTAAAACATTTCCAATCAAAATTATTGAAGAAAAACTCCATTCTTTTAAAAAATTATTCAAAGAAAATTTTCAAAAGAATTTAATTAGGATTTTTGTAAATAATAAAATTCTTCGAAGGACTTCAATTATTTTTAGATTTTTTGATAACATTCTTTGCAAGAATTCAATAATTTTCAGTACATTAATTTTAAAATTGAAAATATTTTTAAAAAAAGTTTTGAACATTCAAATGAACGAAAGTCTTGTTAAAATTAAAATACATTGAAAAATAAAATAATAGATACTAAAATGAAAAACCAAATAAATTAAATATTTGCTTAGTTAAGGATTCATTTTTTAATGAACTAAAAATTATTTTTTGCAACAAAATATAAATTGAATGAAGTAGTAAAAGAAAATTTTCATTCAAATTTTAAACTTTTAAAATTCTAAGGACAATAATAATTAAAACGAAAAGAAAAATCGTCACAAAATGAAAAGCTTCCTCATGAGGAAGCAAAATGAAAATAAAAATAAAGAAACAAATAAAAAGTGAATGAAATAAAAATATATCGATATTAAACTAATTTTGTTTTTTCAGTTCAAAAAATTGTCTTCATTCATTCACGTATCAACAGCCTATTGCCAATGTGGAGAAGAAATTTTAGAAGAACGTGCCTACCCAACATCAATTTTACCGGAAAAAGTATTCACTCTTATCGATACAATGGACGACAATATTTTGGAAGCATTGACTCCGAAATTATTAGGAGATCAACCAAACACTTACGCCTTTAGTAAGTCTTTAAGCGAGGCTCTCGTGTCTAAATCTGGCATACCTACAGGAGTCGCTCGTCCCTCCATCGGTAATTTAATTCTCTGCACTTATTATTAATTATAAATTCAATTGGAATTTCTATCATCTATAAATTTTCCCATTTTTTTTCTTCACTTTTATGTTTCTTTTTCATTTCAAACTTTATTTTTTTTCATTTAAATTGATTGTATAAATATTCTTATTAGTAGCATTATTTCTTTTTTTTCTCCACTGATGATAATAAATCACAAAATTTTTATTCAAATCGTTATTATTTATTGTCTGTTTTGGAATAAATTAACTTATATAGTTCTGAATTTCACTTCAATTCTTTTTTGTCTTCATTTTTAATAAATTTATTATTCAAGCATTGGTAAGTGATTGCGCTTGTAAAGTATTTAATTGCAAACTTGATGAATATTCATTATAATTGCGAGTAATTCTGAAAAACTTGACCTACTATGGATTTAATTTTCATTTATTTTCATTCATTTTCTAAGCGACAAAAAGAAATGCTCGTCTTTTTTTTCAAAGTTCAATTTCTAGCCTAATTGTAATTTCTGAATTCAATTAATTAAAATAGTGGCTGAATTAAAATAAAATAATAAAATAAAATTAATGAATTTCAAAAATTGATATTGGAAAATAAAAGTAGAAAAAAAAGTGGAAAAAACGAATGTTGTAAATTAAAAAACTGAGAGGAATTTAAATTAGAAAATTAATTTACTTTTCATTTGATTTGATTAAATTTTAATTTTACGTTATGCTACTATTTGGGTACTTTTTTAAATTTCAGCCACTAAAAGCTACTATTTCTGTTTTTCTTTGAGAATTTCCACTACTTTAAATTTGCTAATACTAGAAATAAAAAAACTATTCTCAAAAATTATAATCAAATTCTTTAAAACGATTCAATTATTTTCAAAAAATATTCGAAATTCAATTATTTTTAATATCTAGTATCTTCATAAAATTTGGCAAAAGAATTCAATTATTTAAAAAAAAAGTTTATAAATTTGATCAAAAATTCAATTATTTTCATAAATAATAAAATTTCCACAGGAATTTAGAATAGCATTTACAAAAAAATTGTGAAAAAATCAATTATTTAACAAAATTTTTATACAATTCTTAACAATAATTCAATTACTTTCACTAATAATAACATTTTTTATGGAAATTCAATTCTTGAAAAAAAATTTTGATAAAATTCTAAGCAAGAATGAATTCTTTTTTTCAATTAGATTATAGATTAGATTTATTCTTCATTGTACACTTTTTACAATTTCTATTCCTCGCATAACTTGTAGAATTCGATTATTTTCATAAATAATAAAACTCATCGAAGAATTTCAATTATTTTTAATACTATTTTAAAATACTTCATCGAAAAATTCAATTATTTTCACAAATAACAAAATTTTTCACAAAAATTTAATTCTTTTTTAACATTCTTAATAAAAAATTCAGTTATTTTCATAAATAATAAAATTCTTCGAAGGAATTCAATTATTTTCAATTTTTTTAATAAAATTCTTTGCAAGAATTCAATTATTTTCATAAATAATAAAATTTATCGCAGGATTTCAATTATTTTTAATACAATTTTACAGAAATTTCTTGAAAAATGTAATTATTCTTCAAATATTTTAATAAAATTGTTCGAAAAACTCACTTATAGAAAAAATGTTTTTTTTTAAATTCTTTGGAAGAATTCAATTATTTACAAAAATATTATAATTTTTTACAGGTATTCAATTATTTTCAAATATTTTAATAAAATTATTCGAAAGAAATCAATTATTTTAAATACAATTTTAATTAAATTTTCTTGAAATAATTCAATTATTCTTTTAGGTTTTAATAAAATTCTTCCCAAGAATTCAATTATGTCGATAAATAACAAAATTATTCCCGAAAATTCAATTATTTTGAGGCATATTAATAAAATTCTTTGCAAAATTCAATTATTTTCATGAATAACAATATTCATCACGAGAATTCAATTATTTTCATGAATAACAATATTCTTTACAAGAATTCAATTATTTTGAAAAGTAATAAATTTCTTCTTGGAAATGCAACTATTTTAAAAATTTCTAATAAAATCGTTCGCAAGAATTCAATTATTTTTATAGATAATAAAATGCTTTTTATTATTGGCAAAAATTTTTTATATGAATTCTTTGTAAAATTTAATTATTTTTAAAAACCTTTCGCAATTCAATGAATTTCAATATATCAACTATTTTCATAAAATTTCCAAACAGAATTCAATTATTTAAAAAAATTTTTGTACACATCTTCGTAAGAATTAAATTCTTTTCATGAATAATAAAAAATTTCTTAGTTATTCAATTATTTAAATTAGAATTCGCATAAAATTAGTCGAAAGAAATCAATTACTTAAACATTTTTATAAAATTTTCTACAAGAATTAAATTATTTTTATAAATATTTAAATTTTTTCATGAATAATAAAATTCGTTGCGGGAATTGAATTTATTAGCAGGATAAGAAAGAAGTAAATATTTTTGATGAAAATTAGGAAAAAATCAGAAAAATAAAATATTGCTAATGGAATTTTTGTCAGTTTTTTGAAGTGTCTAAAACGACTTTTTTTGGTCGTCAAGTTTAATTTTCTCGATAGCTACTTTTTTTTAGTTTGAAAACTACTTTTTGCTACCTTTTTTAAATTAATTATCGAGTGCTAAGTCGGAAAGAAATAAATTACAAATTATATTTACGTAAATATAAATAAAAATAACTTGTTTGGTTATTAATAATTAAAAAAATGTTTATTGTACGTTATTTTACAGCGCACAATTCAAATTGTAATAAAATTTTATATTAAGAATAATAAAACTAAAATTTATTTCAGTGACTGCCTCTTGGAAGGAACCAGCTCCAGGCTGGGTGGACAATATGAATGGACCAACTGGTTTAATGATAGGAGCTGGCAAAGGCGTAATTCGTTCGATGCTCTGCAATCCCGACTATCTCACTGATATTATGCCCTGTGATTTGGTGGTTAATGCGACAATTACACTCGCGTGGAAAGTTGGCATTGAACAACCAACTGAACCAATTTTCATGAATATCACTGAAAGCGGAAAAAATCCAATTTCCTGGAGGTTCGCTCTCGATACCGGCAGAAAACACGCTCTTGAGAATCCATTCTCAGGTATATTATTATTAATTTCTATAAATTAAAAATTATATTTAAAAGTTTTTTTTAATTATATTTTTAAAAATATTTTTAAATGTAATTTATATTTTTGAATTATATTTATTTATAAATATATTATTTACTTTTTGAAAAATTAAAAAAAAATTATATTTATCATGAAGATAAACTATATTTATATTTATTATGTTTATAAATATAATTTTAAAAAAAATATCTATAAATATAAATTTTAAAAAATGATAAAAATAATTTAAATGTCAGTCATGGAATTGTTAAATAATTTATTTTGTCAACAGTCCCGAGAAAATTGTTAATAATCACATTTTCTTTCATTGAATGAATCCTTCCTTTATCGGATAACCATTAATTTGCCAAGAAATAATTTATACTCTAAATGTACTTTATGTAATATTTCACAGCGATTTAAAAATGACACGGACATTTTTTCTTCTATTTAAAAAACATTTATTTATATATAAAAGAATCTATAAAAAAAACTTTTATATATAGATAATTTATTTATTTTTTTACAATTAGAGTTAGTCCCCCAATTTTCATAGTTTTAAATTTATTTTCAATTAAAAAGTCATTAAATTATTTCTATCAATTTTTTGAAAATTTTTAAACATTCTTTGTAGTCTTTAGTAAAATTAAAATAGTTATTAATTAATTAGTTTCTGAAATTTCATCCTATTTCTAAAAATTGCAACTAAAATTCAATTCAATATATTCAGTAAAATTCAATTACTTTCTGGAATTTCTAACTAAAATTCTTTTCCAAATAAATTATTTTTTAATTTTGTGAAAATTCTTTAAGAATTTAATTATTCAAAGAAAAAGAATTTATTTTCTATTCAATTTTTTTCTTCTTCTTTTAGGGCCTTTGTGGTATCCTGGAGGCGGATTTACAACTTCAAAAATCGTTCACTGGTTCTCTGTATTATTTCTCCATATAATCCCGGCTTATTTACTCGATACTTTATTATATGTCACTGGGAATAAACCATTTCTGGTAAAAGTACAAAATCGAGTCACTACAGGTCTTGACCTACTACAATATTACACGACAAAGGAATGGACTTTTAGGTAAAATTTTGTTTTTTACTTAAAATATTAATTCTACTTAAAAATTTAGTTTTCCTTCATTGGAACGTTCAAAACTTTAGGATTAAAGTTCTGAACGTTCAAATGAAGAAAAATTAAATTTTAATTAAAATAATTTTGCGTCAATGATAATTTTCTTCTATGGAGAATTTTATTGATGAAATTACCAGTGGCGGATGTTTGGCATCCTTCTTAGAAATCTTTCTCTTTATAAATATATTATTTGTTTTTTTTCATTTCAAACGCTCGCAAAGTATATTTCTTGTCATAGTTTTCTAATAATAGATTCATATTCGTAATTTCTAAGTCTTGAGTAAATTGAACGATTCTAATCTACAGGAAATAATTTATGTTGTGTCTTTTATGTTTACGTAAATGTTTGTTTCGTCAAGTGTGGTGGGTCAACGGGTTAATGGCGGAGAAACATTTACATTTTAGCTATTTTATGATCAAGACACTTGTTGCACTTTAAAATATGTTGCATTCAATATTTAAGTTCTTTAGTTAAAACTGATAGTATTTTTTATTTATTCTAATTAGGCGTAATTATATTTTTTATTCATATTTTTATTTATTATACATAAAGTAATAATTTTAATTACAATTGTAATTAAAATTTACTTTAAATTTATTACTTATATTTATATTTTTTTTATATTTTTCATTAAAAATTTTATATTTATTATATTTATATTTATATTGTCAATTTGACGTGAAAATTTTTTGTAAATAATTTTCATGAAATTTTCTAACTTTTTGAATAATTTTTCTTTTTAAATTTAAAAATTTTTTTAATTAATGTATTGAAAATAATTGAATTCTTGCAAAGAATTTTATTAAAAAATTTGAAAATAATTGAATTCCTTAGAAGAATTTTATTATTTCTGAAAATAATTGAATTCTTGCAAAGAATTTTATTAAAAAATTTGAAAATAATTGAATTCCTTCGAAAAATTTTATTATTTCTGAAAATAATTGAATTTTTGCAAAGAATTTTATTAAAAAATTTGAAAATAATTGAATTCCTTCGAAGAATTTTATTATTTCTGAAAATAATTGAATTCTTGCAAAGAATTTTATTAAAAAATTTGAAAATACTTGAATTTCTTCGAAGAATTTCATTATTTTACGAAAATAATTGAATTCTTGTAAAGAATTTTATTAAAAAAATTTTCAAAATCTTAATTAAATTCTTTTGAAGAATTTCTTTGAATTTTTTTAAAAAATGGAGTTTTTCTAATAATTTTAATTGACAATTTTGAAAGTAATTGAATTTAATGAAAAATTTCTTTCTAGTTTTTAAAATAATGGTGTTTTGTAAAAATTGAAATTAAACATTTAATTATTGAATTTTATTTGAAATATTTAGAAAATAATTAAATTCTTCTCAGAATTTTAGTACAATTTTTTAAAATACTTTAATTCACACAAGGAATTTTATTAAAATATTGAAAATAATTGAATTCTTTTGAAAAATAGATTATACTATTAAATAGATTTTGACAATAATGTAATTGTTCCAAAAAACTTATTTGAATTTTTGAAAATAATTAAATTCTTTTGAAAAATTAATTTAATTTTTTGAAAATATAATGTAGTTTTTTTTACAATTTGAATTGAAAATTTTGAAAATAATTAAATTAAACAAAGGATTTTTTTCAACTATTTTAAAATAATCGTGTCTATTAATAATTATAAATAAAATTTTGGATATTAAATTTTTTATAGAAAATAATTGAATTCCTCAGAAGAATTTCATTATTTACGAAAATAATTCAATTTTTGCAACCAATTTTTATAAATTTTGGAAAATAATTCAATTTTTTGCAAAAATTTTTTATAAATTTTGGAAAATAATTCAATTTATGCTAATAATATTATTATTTATTAAAATAATTGATTACTCACGAAGAATTTTATTTAAATTCTTTAAAATAATTGAATTTCTGCGAAAAATTTTATTAATTATAAGAATAATTGAAATTTCGCAAAGAACTTTATTACAATTTTCTAAAATAATTAAATACTTTCGAAGAATTTTCTTGTTTATGAAAATTATTGAATTCCTGCGAAGAATTGTATTAAAAATTTTTATAATAATAAGTACCTAATAAAAAATAATTATAATTAAAAATTTGATTAGTGTATTTAATTAAAATTATTTAATTAAAATTGAATTCTTGAGAAGAATTTTATTATTCATCAAAATAATTTAATTCAAATTTTTGTCAAGATTAAATAATAAGAAATAATTAGTAAATTAGTTAATAATTGTATTTTTTAAATTTTGAATCTAAATTTATTGAAAAATTGAAATTAAAAAAAAATTGTAATTTGAATAATAATAATAATAATAATAATAAATTGAATATCACGTTTCTCGAGCAAGCGCACTTAATTAAATGTAGAAATAAAAGAATTAATTATTAAATATAAAAGTGATTGCTTGAATAATGAATTTTTTTTGCAGGAACGACATGATGAAGAATTTGGAGAACAGTTTAAGTTCATCTGACAGAGAGACGTTTTTTATGAACACCAAGGCTATTTGTTGGAATGAATACATATTAGCTTACATCCTGGGCACTAGAAAGTATTGTTTAAAAGACGATCCTTCAACTTTGCCTCGTGCACGACGTGTTTTTGCCTATTTATATGTCGCAGACTTGTGCCTTAGGATATTTTTTGGAATTTTAATCGTCTGGTTCATCTACTCCTGGATGGTGCCATTTAAAACTCTAATGGAAGTCCGAGAAATTTGAATCTTTCATTATTAATTTTAATATTTCTCACGTTAACTATAAACATAAACGGCGGTAAATTCTTATTTAGAAAAAAAATCTTGAATATTTCTGTAAAAATCCTTTTTTTTAAATTCGCATTTCGCGAATAAAAACTAAATCAGTAAATTTATTTTTTTGTCGAGTATTCTTTTTTGCAATTTTTCGATCTAACGATTTATTTTTTCAAAACAATTTACTTTACAATATAGTTAAAGTTGAATATACTGCAAAAAAAGTGAATAAAATTAATATCAAGCGTTTACGAAATTGTGTTCAAGGTATTTTTTTTTCTCCTTTTTCAGTTACTGCACACATTAAAAAAATGAAGTAATACATTTTAGAAAGTTCGTTATTTTATTTTTTAAAGATATTTTACTTAATAAAAATTTGACTGATGTTAGGAATAACGTGAAAGTGTATATAGATGTTGGTGTAAGAAAAGAAGAGAGAAAAAAAAAATTCAGAAGAAGTGTTACCAAGAAGTGAGATTTCAACATAATTACGTTGTTCAATGATCACAAATCATTCGAGAAGCTATATGATGATGAGCCTTAATTTACATCATTCCGAATTCAATGCAATTTTACTTTGCCTCTTTTTTTCCCCTACTACTCTTATGAATAATTATTTGACGCAAGTGACACTTCTTCATGGCGCATGGAAAATAATTCGCATTGCAGAAAAAAAATACAAAACTCGGCTTCGGAATAATAATGAATGGATAATCATATTCCTGTAGTAACTAAAAATTTGAAATATAATGCGGTAATTTTTAATAGAAAAAAATTACGAAACTCTGAGTTTAATTAGGCGAATACTTTGATTTGTTTGGAAGAAATTAGTATGGAGATATTTTTCGAAAAAATGTAAAGTAAAAAAGAAAAAAAGAGTAAAAAAGTAATAAAAAGTAAAAGGGAGTAAAAAAAGTAAAAAATGGAGTAAAAAAAATAAAAAAAAATAAAAGAAAAGTAAAAAAGTAAAGTAGGAGAAAAAAATAAAAATAAGAGAAAAGTAAAAATAGGAAAAAATAGTGTATAAAATATTGCGAGGGGAATGAAAGAGAAAAATTGATAGATTACGATGTAAGTTGCAGGCATCCTGAAATGTCGAAATTTTAGTGACTAGCTTTATCTAGTGTATACACTCACTCGATAGTATCTAGCCAGTTTACTTACTTACACTCATTCACTATTACTCTTATACTCTCACTCTTTGCTCGACTCGAGTGGTTTAAGTCGTAGCAGCGCACGAAAGTTTTCTTGCATCATCGATATATAGAGGTCGAAATGTTTCGCTCTAAGGATATATATAGTAAAAATGTAATTTACAATGTCCTGTCATGAGAAATGGCACCTGCAAAATATATACATATATATAAAACTTACTGCCAATTGAACTCGTTTTCTTCCTTTCTCCTTTTTGATACACTAAAATAAACACCATTTATTCATAAAAAGAAAAATTAAAACCTTTATCTTGCTTCTAAATAATTTATTATTCGTGAGGGATTTCTTATTTATGATTTTAATTTATAATTTCAATTTATGATTTCAATCTATAATTTGGATTAATAATTTCAAATTTATGATTTCAAATTATAATTAAGGAAATAGTAATAAAATTAATAAAATATTCTATTAAGTGGTATTCAAAAAAGTAATGGGACATTCTTATTGAAATTTAATAATACTATTGTTTGTAATCAAAATCTATTCTTTAAAAACGCTTTTTGCTTAAATATTATTTTCTCTGAGTGATAGTTCGATTAGTTGTTTCATTTCGTCGTGAAATGGCCTAATAATTACTTGACCACTTTATTACGATTCTTGACTCTGTAATTATATAATGCTTTTTATCATTTTCAGTATAATAACTAGTAAAGTATAAACAAACTCAATAAATTATGGATAAATAAAAATTATGGAAAAGTATGAACAAAAACAAAACGTCATGAAATTAGTTTCGTAAATTGTCATTAGTATTACGATTGCTATTTTTATTGTTATTAATAATTTTATTACTATTATTATTTTTATTATTGTTTTTATTCTATTAGTTTTGTTTTTATTATTATTATTGATATTATTAACAAATAATCCACTTTTATCTCTACTGGTTCTAAATTTATTTGTACAATATTCAAGAATATAGAAAATTAATACTAATTAAATTACAAATTAGATCAATTTTTTTTCTTTTTAAATGTTTTGTACTTTAAAATAAAAGAAATTATAATTTTTGAAACTCTTACAAATTTTTAATCTGAATTAATTTAATTCTGAAACAGAATTTTATTCAAATTGGAAAAAAATAATTCTTGAGAAAAAATTTTTATTAAAATTTTTGAAGGTACCTAAATCAAATTATTTTTTGAAAATTTAATTAATAAAAATAATTGAATTTCTATATAAAGAGTTTTATCAGCATTTTTTCAAAATAATCGAATTTCTGCGAAAAATTTTGTTAAAACTTTTTTAAAATATATTTAAAATCTTTCAAAAAATTTCTAGTGAAATTGTATTGAAAATAATTGAATTCAGGAGAAGAATTTTGAATAAAATTTTTGAAAATAATTTAATTTGTCCAAATTAAAAGTTTTTTTTAGAAAATAATTGAAATTTTTCGAAAAATTTTATCAAAATTGAATTGAAAATAATTATTATTCATTTGAAGAATTTTATTAATAATTCTGAAAATAATTGAAATTTTTAGAAGAATTTCCCAAAATATTTTAAAAATAATAATTAAATTCTATTAAAAAAATGGAATTCTTATAAGGAGTTTTATTAAAAATTTTGAAAATAATTAAATTCCTTTGAAGAATTTCGTTAATTATTATGAAAATAATTAAAATCATGAGAAGAATTTGACTAAAATTAAAAATAAATAAAAAGAATTTTTTTTAAATAATTTAAATCATTTGACAAATTTTTTTAAAAATAATTGAAATCTTTCGAAAAATTTTATCAAATTTGCATTGAATTAAATAACAAATAAAAATTCCTTTGAATAATTTTATTGAAATTTTGAGAAGAATTTCCCAAAAATTGTTGAAAATAATTAAATTTTTCAGAAATTCAATTAAAATTCTATTGAAAATAATAGAATTCAAATAAAGAGTTTTATTAAAAATTTTGAAAATAATTTAATTTATGCAAAAAATGATATCTATTAGAAGTTTTTTAAAAATTATGAAAATAATTTAAAATTAAATTTTACGAATAATTTTATACAAAATTTGAAAATAATTTACTTCTTTTTCGATAAATTTAATGAAAATTTTATCATAATAATTAAATCCTTTTAAAGAATTTTATCCAAATTATATAATTAATATTTTTAAAAAGATATATAATTTTTACGAAAAATGTTATTAAATTTGTTTGAAAAATTTGAATTCTACTTAGAAATTTTAATATTTGGCAGAATTTTATTTTATTTTTTAATAACAATTAAATTAATTTGAGAAATTTAATTAAAATTGTTGAAAATAATTAAATTATTATTTTTCAAATTACTTTAGTGAAAAAATTCTTTTAAACAGTTTTTACAAAATTAAAAAACTGAATTCGTGCGAAGAATTTTAATACTTATAAAAAATATAATTGAATTCTTGAGAAGAATTATATTCAAATTCTTGAAAAAAAATTGATTTCTTTCGAGGAATTTAATTAAAATTTTTGAAAATAATAAACAATAGTAATAATTCATTTATAAATTTGTAAATAACTTTTTTCTTTTAATTTTGAATCTGAATTTATTAAAAAATTGAAATTAAAAATTAAGAATAAAAAATTTTGTAATTTGCATAATTAATAATAATAATGATAATAATAATAATAATAATAATACACGTTTCGCATGCTGGCGCAAAAATAATTAATAAATAATAAATAATTATGAAATTAATAAAAAATTTTCATAAAGAGTTACATACAAAAGTCAAAAGAAGGGAAAAAATGAAAAGAAAAGAAATTTTGTAGCGAAATAAATACAAAAAGTAGTGTGCAAATTAAGGTATTTCTCCGGCTGCTACTCTTGTAAAAATTGATTTTCGATAGATTTTCTTCAAATTTTGAGAAAATGATTCTTCGGGTGACTTTTAAATGTGGTAAAAATTTCAAACCCCTTTGCGATGCTAAATTTTGAGTTATTCAAGTTCAAACTTTCACTTTTACATGCAATTATGTTAAAAATAAAAAATGTCAACCACAATATCTCGTTCTTTGACATGGCAAAGGGTATTTAAATTTTTACCACTTTTAAAGGGCACCCAAAGAAACATTTTCTCAAAATTAGAAGAAAATCTATCGAAAATCAATTTTTACAAGAGTAGCAGCCGGAGAACTACCTTAATTACGATGAAAAATGTAAGTGGAAAAAGCCGAGTTTCAGTGAGGAAGGCACGATACAAGTCAGACAAGTAGAAGCAGACGTTTACTGAAAAACAAGTAGATACAGAAATTTATTGAAAGACAAGCAAGGGTCAAGTGTCTCTCCTGTTTCAAGTATTCAAGCCAAAAAAAAAAATGAATTTTAAATTATTTAAATTTATTATCACTAAAATAATTCATCAATCCTGTGTTATATTAATTCAAATTTATCGAATTACATATTACATCAATTATTATTTGTAATTTATCTCAGAAATTCTTTTTTTTTTTTAATGTTTGTTTATTTTACTCTCTATAGTAAATTAATTAAAATCCACTTAAAAGTAAATTAAAAGTAGAACATTTTTTGCGTATTTCATAATCACAATTCATTCTAATTTGAATGTTATATAAACGATCAAACATAAATTGAATTAAGACTCGAAAAAGAAGAAAAATTATCTAATAAAATAAATAGAGATAGAAGTAAATATACATAGAGTGTTTTATTGTAGAAATTTCCAACGTGATTTCATTATAAATCGTTTTAAATCGTTTTTTTTTGGGACTTTTTTTTAAAACCAGAAATTTATGGAAATTTATTATACAAAAATTTTGAAATAATTAAATATTTCATAATGTCCTTTATTGGCAATTTAATATATTTGTTTGTTCTCTGTTTTTTTGGCAAATAATTTCTCTTAGAAATTTATAAAGTAAAAAATTTAAAACAGACAGTTCTTTGCAAAGAAATATTTTTCGTTCTAAAATTGAAGAATTATTAAATTTATTTAGATGAAATTTTTTTCTTCAAATGGAAATTTTTTAATAAAGTTTTTAGCAAATGACAAAATGTTTATTAATGTGTCAATAGATAAAAAAGTAAATTTTTCTTTTTATTTAATTTTTTAATTTGAATTTTTTTAATTTAATTTAATTCAGTTTTTTAATTAAATGTTTTATTTTTTTATTTTCATAATGTAATTTAATTTATAATGTTTTAATTTTCATAATTTAATTTTTCGTTTTTTTATTTTAATTTATGTAAATTACCATTTTCGTTTTTCTCAATGACGCTGAATACTATAGAATGCAAGTAAAAATCGACCCAGTTGCTTCCATACATAAATATACTTAGTTGTCATATTTTTAAAAGTAGTTTGACTGTTTGACATTCAATTAGTTTTTCGACGAATTTTCAATTTTTCTATTTCTTTTCCAGGAATAATTTGTATTATTGCAAAATATACTAATTTCGTAAAATAATATAAGTGTTTTTCAAATTAGATTCAAATGTTCTCTAATAAATTGTTGTTCTTAATTTAAATTATTGATGACATTAAATAATAATATAATATTTTTATAAATAGTAAAATTCTTTGCAAACATTTAATTATTATCAATACAATTTTAAAAAAAATTTTAATAAAGGATTCAATTATTTAAAACAAATTTTAATAACATTCTTCGAAAGAATTTAATTATTTTCTAAAATTTTAATAAATTCTTTCAAATAATTAAATTATTTTAATAAATAGTAAAATTTTTCGCAAAAATAAAATTATTTTTATAAATAATAAAATTCTCAAGAATTCAATTATTTTAAATATTTTAACAAAATTACTTTAATGAATTAAATTATTTTAAACAATTGTAATAACATTCTGAAAATAATTTAATTATTTTCTAAGCATTTTAATAAAAATTCAATATTGAAATGTTTAATTTCAATTCTTAACAAACACAATTATTCTCGCGATTATTTTAAAAACTTGAAAGAAATTCTTCATAAAATTCAATTAGTTTTAAAATTTTCAATATAAGTTATAAAAAAAACTCCATAATTTAAAAAAAGGTTCAAATAAATATTCTACAAAAGAATTTAATCCGGATTTTTTAATAATTTTAATGAAATTCTTCACTAGAATTCAATTATTTTCAATATATTAATTTTTTAAAATAATTAATTTGTTATTATATTCGTTAAATTTTTTTAATATTTGAATTCTTTCGAGTTTTTTTTATAAAATTAAATAATTGAAAATAATTGAATTTCTGCGAAGAATTTGATTAATTATTAATTATTAAAATAATTGAATTAAACAAAGAATTTTTGTTCACCTTTCTAAAATATTCGTGTTTGTTACGTTAATAATTATAATTAAATTTTGATTATTGAATTTTATTAAAATTGTATTAAAAATAATTGATTTCTGCGAAGAAATGTGTGAAAATTAAAATTTTACGACATAGGTAAATTAAAAACTAAAATAAATAAGTAGAATAAATAAAAAAATAAATAAAAAAATGAATAAATGACGAAAATTAATAAATAAATGAAAAAAAATGTAAACAAAATTAATTTTATTAATTTTGTTAATTAAATTGTTAATCAATTTAGAAACTAAGCGATTATTGTCAAAACAATCAATTTCGATTAAAAATCAGAAACTGAGGCAATTTATATTATTTTGCTCGTAAAAATTCACAAAAAATCCCCACCGAACAATAATTAGTCTCTTAATAAATTTCGCCTATCTCTTTTAAGTACGACATTAAACACGCTCACCCATTGAAAGTGAAGTGAAGTCTTTGAAAGGCCGCTGGCGATTCCCCCGAATTTTTTGGGTCCGGAATAAACGACCATACGGTCCTGCATCGGTAAACCGATAAATGTCCGGTAGACGTTGGGCCATATAATGTCGGTCATGTTACCTCAGTCTGCAACGGACTCACCATCCGAACGTGTCGAGTTGAGCTAGCTGCAAATTATAGTGTTTAGCGCCTTTTTTTTTTTTTTTTGTTTTGTTTGAAAACCAAAACAATCGTGTACGGTCTTCTTGACGCGTCACGTTTTTTCGGCCAGTGTTCCAGGGAGGATCCAATATTCTCCTTGTAAGTGATTTTGCAAATTTAATTTATTTATTCATTTTCCATTTTTGAATTTTTCCCAAATATCGTGGAAGAACTTGAATCGGTCTCCTATTTAGTTCGAAAACTGCGCGCACGTGGAAAACCTGAAAAAGTTTATGTAATTAGTAACTATTCAATTTTACCAGTGTTCGTGATTATCGCAAAAAAAAAAATTTATAAACAATTTTTATTAGTGAATCAAAAAAAAAATTGTTTCTCCATTGTCATTGTTTGTTCATTATTTTAAGTATTTTAATTAGACTATAGAGTTTGATTGAGTTTTATAATCTAAATTATAAAATTTCCTTTCAATAAAAATTGTTTTCTAGTACAATTTTAACTCCAAAATAATTTTTTATTAATTCCTTATTTGTATTTTTAAATTATTCTTAATTCTTTTCCTATTTTTTTAATTAATTAATTCGTTATTCATTTTTCTAAATTATTCTTAGTCTTTTTAAATTTCTCTTAATTTTTTTTCTATTTTTTAAATTAATTAATTTCTAAATTATTCTTAATTCTTTTCTCCTTCTATTTTTTTAATTAATTAATTCTTCACTAGCCTTTCTTTATTATTCTTAATAATTCTTTTTATTTACAATTTTTTTAATTGTTATTTTCAATTTTTTATTGCTAAAAATATTGACAAACCAGGTCACTAGTTTTTTTTTTTTTTTTTTGCAAAAATAACTCTTTTGATTAAAAACTGAAATTGTTAAGAAAAATTAACCAAGAATGAAATTCTATATAGAAAAATTAATGTTCAATGTGCATTTTATTCTAATTTTGAAAAACGTTTCATTTCCTTTTGTTTGCGCAACAAAAGTCACTATTGTAAAATGATCGTATCATCAGAAGAAAATTATATGAATGCGTTTCAGAATAAAACGTTTGACTTTTACTCTCAAGAGTTATTAATATTCGTAATAAAAATTTTTTTCCCCAAGATTTGTCATTTCACTTTTAGAATTTTAATTCTTGAGTATTTTTCTAAAAGTCAATATTTCTAGTACAATTCCAACTGAAAAATATAATTAATCGTAATTCTTCTTTAAAATTGAATTTTGATTACGAAAAAATTATTAATTTTTCTTTTCAATATTTAATTACGTCTAAATTTTTAATTCAATTTTACATTTAAATAAATTCAGCAAAAATAGATTATTGAGACGAATAAAGTATTTTTCTTTTATAGACGAAATATTTTTTTGAAAAATAATTTCTAATTAGCTAATTGAATTTAATTTTCCAAATGTATTTTACGTTTGCCTGATTTTTCTTTGTTTTAACAAAAAAATCAATTTCTGAATTGATCAATTTTTTGAAAAGAGGGGAAGAAAAATATATTTTCTTCAGGAAAGTTTGTTCGGTTCTAATTTCTCAAAGTCAAGGATAGTGCGGTTGAGTCTACAATAATGACAGTAATCTTTTCGCGAGAGGAAAACATTGTTTTATTTCTATAATACGCGAACAAACATCAGGTCATAATAACGGAATAATCATTTTGATTTGAAGACGAAAAAAAAATTGTAGCGAATGACGGACTGAGAAATCTACAATTATAAGGGTGATTAGTTTCATTGTTGTCACTTTAGTTCAAAAAGAATATTTCGTCTTGAATAAAAAATATTTCATCTAAATAAAAAAATATTTTAAAAAGAATATTTCATTTAAATAAAAAAATATTTCAAAAAGAATATTTCGTCTAAATGAAAAATATTTCAATATTTTCCTTATTAATAATAGTTAGTAATTTACTAATAATTAAGAATTAATATTATTAATCAAAATGATAATGTGAAGAAACAAAATTACAAAAGCAAAAAAAAAAAAAAAAATTGGAATAAATTATGAAATTGTGCGACAAAAACAATAAATTTCAAGTACAAATTGTTTTTCTCTAAGTACATATGTACTTCCTTGACGCGAAAGTCATATTTGCCACACTTTTAGAAGGAATAATATTTCACAAAAAGTATGCAATTCCTTAATATTGCCAATCGTGCTTACTGCCAATTACCTCCAATCACGTGATTATATTTCACAGAAAATGCAATGCTGTTATAGGTGAAATACATATTCATGATTAAAACACGATTTCGCATGTGTGTCGAAAAATTTCGCTACATATTTTAAAATGCACCGGCGCCATTACTGTAATTAATTTTACTTTTTTAATTCTTGTCACTCTCGAATAATCTCATTTTATTGAAAATAGAGCCTGAAAAAAATTATTTTATTATTACCATAATTAATATTATTATTAATATTACTATTATTATTATTAATATTTATTACTTAGACCTTTTATTACAAAAATTAATTAAAAAAACGGTTTTAACAGAAAGTGATTATTATTATTATTATTATTATAAAAATTATTTAGTTCTTTTAAAATATTTAGTTCTTAAAAAAATAATTAAAAAACGGTTTTAATGCCAAAAAGCGATTATTTTTATTATTTAGGCTTTTCATTATAAATATTAATTAAGTAAACGGTTTTAAAAGAAAGCGATTATTTGTATTAAAATTATTTATTGTTTAGTTCTGTTATAGCAAAAAATATTTAATAAAAAAGCGAAAATGCGATTATTATTATTATTATTATTATTATTATTATTATTATTATTATTATCAGCATGAGAACGAAAACAATAAATCCCATTGTTGTAAATAATATTAACATAAATATCAAATAGTAAAAGTAATTAATAATTAATAGGAATTGCAAAAGTCTATATTTTTATAATTTTGATTTAGAAAGTCAGTGACTCTTCCCTATTCTAAAAATAAACTTCATTAGAAGTTAATTGACATGAGATTTATAACTGCATGTTACATAAATAATTCTCATTTTTTTTTATTTATATCTATTTTGGATTGGTAAGAACTCAATTACATTTAATTTTTTTTTCTAAAATTGAACGCTTTTCAAGAACAATTTTCAATGATTTTCAAATTAACTAGAAGAAAATTTATGCGTTAAAAAAGAAAACAATTTTACTCTACTTTTATAATGTTTACATAATCGTATTCATTTTAAGAATTTGCTCTTGAGTTTAAAACTGGTTTCTAGAAGAATTCCAAATTATGCTATTAATGGTCAATGTAAAGTCAATATTGTAAATATAATATCAAATGAAACGTGAATAGAATATTTTTAGCGTATTATTTAACAGGCAATTAACGTAAGAAAAGTTAGATATCAAATGATTGTTCAAAAATATAAACTGATATTGAAAATTGAAAATACATAATAATAATAATAATAATAATAATAATAATAATAATAATAATAATAATAATAATAATAGAAATAATAATAAAAATAGTAATAATAATATCAATAGAAATCGTAATGATAACAATAGAAAATTATCTAAATATTTATTTTCTAACAATTGTAACAAATCTGTATAATTATTAATTATATTATTCATAGTATGCACTATAAAGTAATAAAATTATATAATTGTATATAACAGTTTAATAATAATAATTCTGTAATGTTTTCGTATAAATATTTCATTATATTTTTCTTTCCGATTTTTTGTTCGCAATATAAATAAAAATATGAAAGGCAAAGATTATAAAAATACTATTTGTTGTGGTTCAAATGTTGCGTTTATGTATTATAATTGCAAACCTGTAATTATTTCCTAATGATCTTTCCAGTGATTATCATCTCTGTTTAGCGGCACTTTTTTTTTACCACGCTCAAAAACAGTTGTTTATTTCTTATTTTATATAATAATGTCATATTTGTAAATGTTATTGTAAATGTGATTCTCGTCATTTGAAAAAAAGAACAGTCAATAGAATTTAAATTTATAATCAAATTTCTCTTACAAAAGTCAAAGTATTTTAAAATTTTTTCCACACAAGTCTATATTATGCATATTTTGTTTTGCAACATTTTTCATATCGTCTTTTCTAAATGATTTGAATAATTTAATCAGCTAACCTTTTATACGAAAATTAATATCTCTTTTTAGAAATAAAAGGCGTTAGAATGGCGAGTCGAATTAAACAGAAAGGTTAAAATTTTACGTAATGTAAAAAAAAAATGTGTAAAAAAACGAAAAATAAAAATCAAATTCCTATTTGAATGAACTTTCTTCTTATCAATTGGATGAACACGAAGAGAATGTTAATTTAATTATTACTTTTTTATTTTTATTTCTGTTTATTTCTGTTACTTTCAGTTATTTCAGATTTCTATTTATTTCTGTTACTTTCAGTTATTTAAATTTCTATTTCTATTTATTTATGTTATTTTTGATTATTTTTATTTCTATTTCTATTATTTTCAATTATTTTTTTATTTCTACTTAGGTATTTCTGTCATTTTTAATTATTTTTATTTCTAACTTATTTCTATTATATTCATTTATTTTTTATTCCTATTTATTTATAATATTTTGTATTATTTTTATTTCTATTATTTCTGTTACATTTTTAATTATTTTTATTTCTATTTATCTCTATTATTTTTAATTATTTTCAATTATTTTTATTTCTATTATTTTCAATTAATTTTATTTCTACTTATTTAAAACTATTTTTAATTATTTTGATTTCCATTTAAATTACTTTTCCTATTTTTATATCTAATTTAAGACAGTAGATTGAAAATATCCCCCGTAAAAATTAAATTTAACTGACAATGTTACCTGTTTATTGCAGAAAATTAATCCAGATAAGCAATTTGCTTTGAAAAATCATGACGGAAGTGAAAATAGAGGAGTGGCCAGATAGAATAGCTGAGGTATTCAAAGGTCGTGAAATTTTGCTCACCGGTGGCACTGGATTTTTAGGAAAAGTCATAATTGAGAAATTTTTGCGATGCCTGCCAGAAATCGAACAAATTTATCTTCTCGTGAGGCCGAAGAAAGGAAAGGATCCCAAACATCGTCTCGATGACATATTTAATTCCGCTGTAAGAAAACAAAATTTCCTTTTAATTAATAATCCTTAATTAACACAAATTTAATCAAAAAACACTTTTTTTTAAATTAATAGTTAATAATTAATAATTCTTATTTATTAATTTTAAAAAAGTAGTTTAGTTAAAAAATATTCTTTTAAAATTAATAATTCTGAACTAACAAATTAATTAATATTATTGCATCAAATTTTTTTTCTCCGATAAAAATTCCATCGGTAAACATTTTTTTTTGTCTTTTGAAAAAATAGTTAAAAAAATATTTGAAAGAATATTTAACAAAATATTTAAAGGAATATTTAAAAAAATGTTTGAAAGAATGGTTAAAAAATCATTTGAAGAAATAATTATAAAAATGTTTTTAAAAATAGTTAAAAAAAATATTTGAAAAAAAGAAAACAATGAAAACGAAAACTAGAAATAAAAGCAATAAACAAATGTTAATTAACAAAAAAAAAAAAAAAAAACTAAGGCGAAGATGTTAAGAATAACGAATGATAAAATTCTGATCTCACAATATTACGAATTATTACAAAATCAACCTGCAAAAGTAAAAGTGTATTGCACGGAGAGAAAGTCTATACCTATACAACAAGATACATCGTTGCTTGTGTTCGGAAGCTGTATAATTGTGCAATGAGTCATTGGCGTGCAAACGTTTATTCTATTAGTTGCAAAGAATTTGCGTACGAATGATATTTGTTTAAACGAGGCCAAGAAAAAAAAGAAGGAAAAACCAAGTAAAAAAATAGTCTAAAATCAAACTAAATTAAGACCTGCGATTTTTCTACATTTTCTGTAATAAGCACTTTCAGAAATCAAATTTCCAGTCTAAACAAGAAAAAGCAAAACAAGATCTGACAATCTACTTTTTTAATTACTCGAGAATGTAATAACAGTCATTTCTGTTTTCTATTTTTAAAAAAAATTCGTTTCTTCATTTTTCACTATAAAAAATTCCTTTTTCGAAAATTGCTTTTTTATTTCTTTGACAAAAAAACAAAATAAATTATTAAGTACTATAAGTCAAAACGAAAAACATCAAATTCTTTGTATATATTTAAATATAAAATTACATTATTTACGATGATTTCGAAAATGAATTAAGAGAGTGTAAATTAAAAGTTCGCCATAAAAAAAAATGAAAAAAAGGGTGTGAATTAAGACCATAAATTGCATTTACAATTAAGGACAATATTCTAGAAATTATATAATATTGCTGAACTCAATTCCCCTGAATATTCGGAATTAAAAAGAAAAAAAACAAAAAAAAAATGCAGAGTCATGTCATTACTTGCAGGAATAATTTAAATCCAATAGTAAACCTAGTTCTCAAAGCAGGTTTTTAAATACTTTTTTCGTTTTATATTTTGCATGTCTGCGAATACAACACACATGCACACAATATAATGTTGAAAATTGAAGTTTGTTTTTGTGGGAAGTAAATTCGTCAGGGAAAGCGTCTTGGGCCTGGTTATAATATAACTACAGAAACAGAGTCAAGGCCTCGTTCAAACATATAACCGAACGAATATTATCGCATGGTGAAAGTATTATAAGTGAATATGTTATGTCACATAACTTGAACTGAACATTCTAACGCAATCAGACGTACATCACGTATGACGAGAGTTACGTCAACGAGGTTCAATAAAACAAGGCCAGGGTGCCGGATTTACTTCCAATTGATTATCCAAAAAAAGAAAATTCGAGTCAAGAGCAAAACTTACATAATTGTTTTATGCGACAATATCAGAAAAGTATTTAAAAATACGGACGTTACCGACCAACAATGAAAAATTATGGACCAATTTCTGAGAAAAATTTAATCAGTCTGAGTCAAATAAGAGAACATTTTACTTAAAAATATAAATAAAATTTTATCATAATTCTATAAAACATGAAGAAATCGAACACTCCGAGTCGAAGACTCGGAGTGATCTATATCTTCATGTTTTATAATAATTAAAAATGGCAAATTGATAAAATTATAATTTTATATTATAAGAATAATGTACTTCTTCAAAATTCTTTTCAACATTTCAATTCAATTATTATTTTTAAGAAATTTTTGAACTAGAATTCTTCTTTAAAGCAATTAATTTTCAAAAAAGTTCTTTGACAATTTTCAAATCCATTTCTTTACAATATTCAATTTTACGAATTTCAATTATTCGTAAATTCTTCCATTAAATATACATTAGAAAATAAAAACTTCCAATAATATAAAAAAAATTGAATTAAACTTTTTCAAAAAAATTAATTTAAAAATTCAATTATTTCTAAAAATTCACGCTATATTGCTTTTAATATTCAATTATTATTTAAAATATTAACTGAAATTCATTAAATTTTTTTATTAGAATTCAATTATTTAAACACAAAAATAAATAATTTATTGAATAATTGAATGTTTCTTAAAATTCAAATCTTATAAATAATTGTATTCTTTCGACGAATTTTAATAAAATTTTTAAAAATAATTAGATTTTTCGAGAAATTTAATTAAAATTATATTAAAAATAATTAAAATTCTATAATGAGTTTTATTATTTAAAATATTTATGAAAATAATTGAATTCCTAAAAAGCATTTTATTATTTATGAAAATAATTGAATCCCTGTAAAAATTTTATTATTTATGAAAATAATTGAATTATTGCGAAGAAATTTATAGAAAATTTGTAAATAATTTAATTTCTGTGAAATTTATATTATTTTACGAAAATAATTAAATGTTTGCCTAGAATTTTATTAAAATTTTTGAAAATAATTGAATTTTGGAGAAGAATATTATTTCTAAAAATAATTTAAATTTTGACGAGAATTTTTAAAAATTTTTGAACATAATCGAATTTTTGCGAAGAAATTTTGAAACTTTTGAAAATTATTAAATTTTTGCAATCATTTGTAATTTCTATAAAATTCTGCAAATTATATCGTACAATTTACGAACTTTTCTCCTTCAAATTACCGTTTTTTTTTTTTTAAACGGACTTTTACGGATTTGAAGTAAATTTACAAACCTTTACGGGATTCACGGACCTAGTTCTCTTCAAGTTGAAATCATTTTTAAAAATTGGTAATAACTTCGAAATGACTAATTGAAAATTGCCATTGACTCAATTTTAATCCAAATCCTTCTGCTACTTCTGTAAAAATAAATTTAAAATTCATATGTCATCACATTATCATAAAATGTTTTTAAAATCTTTTTTAGAATCGAATAAATTATCCTTAATCTTTTTAGATTTTGTTTTTATGATTTAAAATTTTGCACACACTGTGTCAATTTAAAGGATGTCGACGTGACTTTTATCGAAAAAAAAAATAACATTCAGAGGCCAACGACACGTATGAATCAAGCTGGGAATTCCTGCAACTCGAGGCAGAATGCAAAAAGACGAAAAGAAACAGACTGAATTCGTTACAATCATTAAAAAAAAGTGAATAAGAAATATTCACCCAAAAAACATTTCTTCGTTAAATTTAATTTGGAGAAAAAAAGAAAAATTGTTGCATTGTTTTTTTTACTAATTGCAATATTCGGCAAGAGAGAAATTCAAGGATACGAAAAGCTCATAACTGCGGTAAATTCAAGGCAAACATTTAAATTATTTGATTATGTGATAGAAAATAAGCTATACATAATAACGCGAATGGCAAGTTTGAAAAAAAAATTGATTACCGCGTTAAAGAAAAAAAAAAGTTAGAAAACTTTCTAAAATCAAAAACCGGAGATTATTGCTTTAGTTTATTATACAAAATGGGTCAAAGTCAAGTTATGAAACGTAAAATACATAGCAAAAGTGATCATTTTAAGAAGTTTGAATTTTTCTAATCGCGCAGTAAATTATTGCCAATTTACGGGAAATCGACTTTTTTTATTAACGCCATTTATGTATCTTGTTTCTGTATAATTAATTTAAATTTATTAAGTAATCTTATACTATTTACAAATGCAATAATTGTAATTAAGATGAAAATTTCAGAAAAATTAATTTTAATTTAAATAATGAATGAAATAATTATAAATAAAAATGAAAAAATAAGATAAAAACGAAATGTTACAACGAAATAAAACTCCAATGAGATGAAATAATTAATATAAAGCAATTAATAATTAAAATATAATTATAAACTAAAATAATGAAATAATCGATATTAAGTAAATAATAACCACGGTATTACAATAATCTGTTCGCAAATTGAAATTAGTTGTTTGTTTTATAGTTTCCTAACTTTCTAATGTTTTTCATTTAAAATTAATAAATATTGAAAATCATTGAATCCTTGTTAAGAAATTTATCAAAAAACTTTAAAATAATTGAATTTCTTGAAATAATTTTTTTATTTATGAATATAATTGAAAATAATTGAATTCTTGAGAGGAATTTAACTTATATTTTAAATAAATAAAAAGGTGAACAAAATTCTTTGTTTAATTTAATTATTTTCATAATTAATCAAATTTTTCATAGAAATTCAATTACTTTCAATTATTTAATTTTATAAAAAAGCTCGAAAGAATTCAATTATTAAAAAAAATGTAACAAACTAATTATTTTCAAAAATTAATGTATTGAAAATAATTGAATTCTAGGGAAGAATTTCATTAAAATTATTGAAAATTCTAATTAAATTTTTTTGAAGAATTTCTTTGAATTTTTTTCAAAATAATGGAGTTTTTCTAATAATTTTAATTGACAATTTTAAAAGTAATTGAATTTAATGAAGAATTTCTTTCTACTTTTTAAAATTATCGTGTTTTTTAACAATTGAAATTAAACATTTAATTATTGAATTTTATTTAACATTTTTAGAAAATGATTAAATTCTCAGAATTTTATAATAATTTTTTTCAAATAATTTAATTCTTTAAAGGAATTTTATTCAAATATTGAAAATAATTTAATTCTTTCGAAGAATAGATACCTACTGTTAAAGGTTTTGACAATAATTTAATTATTAAAAAAAAATTTCTTTCATTTTTTGAATATAATCGATTTTGTTAATAATTGTAATTAATAATTTTTCTTTTAAATTTTATTAAAAAATATTGTAGAAAATTAAATTTTTTAAACAATTTTATTAGAAAACTCTAAATAAAATAAATTATTAATTAATTTTATTAATTAAATTATTTTCAACAATTTCTTAAAGTTCCTTTGAAAATAATGTAGTTTTTAAATTTTTTTAATAATTTTAATTGAAAATTTTTTAAATAATTCAATTAAATAAAAAATGTTTACAACTTTTTAAAATAATCTTGTCTCTTAATAACTATAATTAAAATTTTGATTATTAAATTTTTTTAAAATTATATTGTAAATAATTGAATTGCTGAGAAGAATTTTATTATTTATAAAAGTAATTGAATTTCTGCGAAAGAATTTTATTAATTATAAAAATAATTGAATTCTTGCGAAGAATTTTAAATTGTTTATAAAAATTATTGAATCGCTTCGAAGAATTTATTAAAATTTTAGAAAATAATTGAATTGTTTCGAAAAGTGTTATTAAAAATTAATAAAAAAAAATTTAATTCTTTCATGAAATTTTATTAAAATTGTATTGAAAAGAATTGAATCCCTGTAAATAATTTTGACTATTTATAAAAGTAATTGAAGGTTGTTTCGAAGAATTTATTAAATTTAAAAAAATAATTGAATTCTTTCGAAATTAAAAAAAAATTGTTTAAATAATTGAATCCTTTTGTGAAATTTTCTTAAAATTGTATTGAAATAAAATAATTTAATTCCTGCAAAATATTTTACTATAATTTAAAAAAAATCATTGAATTCTTCCGATGTTTGTTTTTATTTATGAAAATAATTTAATTCTTGCGAGGAATTATAAAGTTTTGGAAAATAATGAACAATAATAATTAATTATGTAGGTACTTAATAAGTGAATTTTTTAAATTTTGAATCCGAAATTATTCATAAATTTAAGTTTATATTTGAAAATAAAAAATGTTGTAATTTGTATAATAATAAATTGAAATTGATTATTAGATGCTTACCAAATCCTTTATTTTTGTAGCTTTTTGAGAAAGTCAGAACGCAACGAGGAATTGAAGCTCTGAAGAAATCGGTGACAATAATTAGCGGTGACGTATCCCTGCCAGGATTGGGATTGTCAGCAGAGGACAGAAAACTGATATGTGAGAAAGTCAGCATTGTTTATCATGGAGCAGCCACAGTCAGGTGTTATAATCTCTGAAAAAAGAAACGAGATTTCTTTATTTCTCTTTAATGAATTATGAATTTAATTAAATATTAAAAACATTTTTTGTCTAAATTTTCAATTAGGTTTGACGAACTACTTAAAAGAGCAGTTTTGCTGAATACTCGTGGCACAAAACAAATGTTAGACTTGGCCAAAGAAATTAAAAATTTAGTTCTTTTCGCACACATTAGCACTGCCTATTGTCATCTCGAAGAGAAGGTATATTCTTTCCAAACAAAAAAAGTACCACCACGTAACTATTAAAAGTCCCTAAAGTTCTGAACGTTCAATTGAACGAAATTTTTTTATTTCTTCTTTAAATTCAAATTTTATTTCAACTAATATTGTGTTAAATATAGAAAAATATAAATTATAAAAATTCCAAGTACTTAATTTTGCATTTACTTTTTAAAAGTCCAGTAATTTTTGGAAAATAATTATATTGGCAAAAAATTTCGTTCATTCGAAAGTTTAGATTATGTCGGTTAATTAAAATTAATTGAAAATTAAATACTTTGACTTTTGCGCAAATTTTTGATTTAATTTCGATTTAATACATACCAAAAGCTTCTTGGAGAAAAATCATATCCTCCACCGTCGAATCCGCATAAAATTATAAAATGTGTCGAATGGATGGACGACGATGTCGTAGAGGCAATGACTGATAAAATTTTGGGAAATTTACCAAATACTTATGCGTTCACAAAAGCCTTGTCCGAAGGTCTCGTCGAAGAAGCCATGCCACACATTCCAGCAGTTATTTTGCGGTATGTTTGAATTTTTTCCCATTTCCCTGCAAAAAAAAAAAAACTATTATTTTATTATTTTTCAATTTTACGTACTATTATTTCTTTTTTGTAGACCAAGCATAGTGATTCCAGTTTGGAAGGAGCCAGTGCCAGGTTGGACGGACAATATTAATGGACCAACAGGACTTTTAATTGGTGCCGGAAAGGGCGTTATCAGAACAATGTATTGTAACGAAAATGGTTACGCTGATTATTTACCAGTCGACATTGCAGTTAATGCAATTTTAACAGCCTCTTGGAATTTTCTTTACTGCAAGGAACACGAGAAGAGAGTTTACAATCTCACCAGCAGCAGTGACTTCAAGGTGATGATGATTCTTTTTCTAAAACAGAAAATTTTTCGTCCACTGACAATATTTTCAAAAATAAGTAATTATTATGATAATTAATATAAGTATAATAATCTATATGATTTTTTAAAATATTTTCAATTAAAAATTAATGTATTTAAAATCATTGAATTCTTGCCCAGAATCTTATCAAAAAATTGTAAGAGAATAATTGAAATCTCGCGATGAATTTTATTAAAATTTTTAAAAATTCTAATTAAATTCTTTTGAAGAATAACTTTAAATTTTTTTAAAATAATGGAGTTTCTTTAATAATTTTAATTGAAAATTTGATTAATTGAATTTTATTAAAATTGTATTGACAGGGTGTCTAACAAGGATTAAGAAAAAAATTCCCTGAATTTTCCATGACTTTTTACTAATTTTATTTTTGCTTTCTTGCGACAAAAATATGGTAACTGACATATTTAACAATAAATTAATATCTAATGATAGAAACAAAACGATAATAAAAATTTTCTAAGTTTTGTTAAATTAAAAAAATTTTTTATTCACAAAAAATTTTAATTTTTGTATAAATTTTTAGAAATTTCCATGACTTTCAATGAAATTTTCTGCCATTCCCTGACTTTCCTGACCGTTAGACACTCTGATTGAAAATAATTGAATTCCTGACAAGAATTTTATTATTTATAAAAATAATTTAATTCTTGTGAAGAATTTTACTATTTATAAAAATAATTGAAATGATCGAAAAATTTATTATTTAGGAAAAATAGAATTGTTTTGAAGAATTTAAAAAAAATATTTAAAAATAATTAAAATTCTTTCGAGAAATTAAATTAAAGTTGTTTCGAAAATAATTTAATTTCTGTAAAGAATTTTATTACTTTTTGAAAATAATTGAATTCTTTCAATTCTTTTGACGAATATATTTAAAAATTTCATTGAAAGTAATTTAATTTTTATAAAATATTTTGATAATAATTGAATTATTTTTAGAGAATTTTAAATTCTTGTTGAAATTGAATTTTATGGAAATTTTTGAAAATAATTACAGGGTGGCCGCAAGATTGACTTTATCAATTTCCCTGACATTTTACTGACATAACAACGAATTTCCCTGACAAAAATTTTTTTGTTTAGAGCAAAAAATGTATTGCATGACCGTCTTAATTTCTTTAATTGCCCTGACAAAAAAATTTTTCCTGACATTTCCCTGACTTTACTGACAAAAAATTTTTTTCCTGACATTTCCCTGACTTTGCTGACAAAATATTTTTTTCCCTGACATTTCCCTGACTTTACTGACATGTGGCCACCCTGAATTAAATTCTTTCGTGTAATTTTATTTAAATTGGAGTAAAAATAATTTAATTCCCGAGAAGAATTTTATTACTTATGAAAATAATTTAATTCTTGCGAAGAATTTTACTATTTATAAAAATAATTTATAAAAATAATTGAATTTGTTCCGAAGAATTTATTAAAATTTTAGGAAATAAATTCATTTTATGTAAATATTTGAAAATAATTAAACTCTTTTGAGGAATTCTTTTAAAATTGTTTTGAAAAAATTGAATTTCTGCAAAGAATTTTACTTTTTATAAAAATAATTAAAATGATTGAAAAATTTATTACAATTTTAAGAAAAATTGAATTGTTTTGAAGAATTTGAAAGAAATATTTAAAAATAATTAAATTCTTTCGAGAAATTAAATTAAAGTTGTTTGGAAAATAATTTAATTTCTGTAAAGAATTTTATTACTTTTTGAAAATAATTAAATTCTTTCAATTCTTTTGACAAATATATTTAAAAACTTCATTGAAAGTAATTTAGTTTTCATATAGAATTTTTATAAAATATTTTGAGAATAATTGAATTATTTTTAGAGAATTTTAAATTCTTGTTAAAATTGACTTTTATTGAAATTTTTGAAAATAATTAAATTCTTTCGTGTAATTTTATTTAAATTGGATTAAAAAAAATTTAATTCCTGCAAAGAATTTTAGTATTTATAAAAATAATTGAATTCCCGAGAAGAATTTTATTACTTATGAAAATAATTTAATTCATACGAAGAATTTTACTATTTATAAAAATAATTTAATTGTTCCGAAGAATTTATTAAAATTTTAGGAAATAAATTCATTTTATGTAAATATTTGAAAATAATTAAATTCTTTTGAGGAATTCTATTAAAATTGTTTTGAAAAAATTGAATTTCTGCAAACAATTTTACTATTTATAAAAAAAATTGAAATGATCGAAAAATTTATTACAATTTTAGGAAAAATTGAATTGTTTTGAAGAATTTTAAAGAAATATTTAAAAATAATGAAATTCTTTCGAGAAATTCAATTAAAGTTGTTTCGAAAATAATTTAATTTCTGTAAAGAATTTTATTATTTTTTGAAAATAATTGAATTCTTTCAATTTTTTTTGACGAATTTATTTAAAAATTGCATTGAAAGTAATTTAATTTTCATATAGAATTTTTATAAAATATTTTGAGAATAATTGGAATTATTTTTAGAGAATTTTAAATTCTTGTTGAAATTGAATTTTGTGGAAATTTTTGAAAATAATTAAATTCTTTCGTGTAATTTTATTTAAATTGGATTAAAAAAAATTTAATTCCTGCAAAGAATTTTAGTATTTATAAAAATAATTGAATTCCCGAGAAGAATTTTATTACTTATGAAAATAATTTAATTCATACGAAGAATTTTACTATTTATAAAAATAATTTAATTGTTCCGAAGAATTTATTAAAATTTTAGGAAATAAATTCATTTTATGTAAATATTTGAAAATAATTAAATTCTTTTGAGGAATTCTATTAAAATTGTTTTGAAAAAATTGAATTTCTGCAAAGAATTTTACTATTTATAAAAAAAATTGAAATGATCGAAAAATTTATTACAATTTTAGGAAAAATTGAATTGTTTTGAAGAATTTTAAAGAAATATTTGAAAATAATGAAATTCTTTCGAGAAATTCAATTAAAGTTGTTTCGAAAATAATTTAATTTCTGTAAAGAATTTTATTATTTTTTGAAAATAATTGAATTCTTTCAATTTTTTTTGACGAATTTATTTAAAAATTGCATTGAAAGTAATTTAATTTTCATATAGAATTTTTATAAAATATTTTGAGAATAATTGGAATTATTTTTAGAGAATTTTAAATTCTTGTTGAAATTGAATTTTATGGAAATTTTTGAAAATAATTAAATTCTTTCGAGTAATTTTATTTAAATCGGATTAAAAATAATTTAATTCCAGCAAAGAATTTTACTATTTATAAAAATAATTGAATTCTTGCGAAGAATTTTACTATTTATAAAAATAATTAAATTCTTTCGTGAAATTTTATTAAAATGTTAGAAAATAATTGAATTCCTTTGTGAAATTTTATTAAAAATTATTGAATTCTTCCAAAGAATGTTATTATTTATATAAAAATAATTGAATTCTTGCGAAGAATTATATTAAAATTTTTGAAAATATAAACAATATTAATTGTTTTTGTACTTGATAAGTGAATTTTTAAAATTTTTTAACTTTTACTTGAATTGGTAAAAACTTGTTCGCAGGTGACCTGGGCGGAAATAATAGAACGAGGACGACGAGTTACGGAAAAAGTTCCTCTTAACGGCGTTGTCTGGTATCCTGGTGGTAGTATGAAAAAATCCCGTCTCATGCACAATATTTGTGTCCTCTTCTTTCACATGATTCCCGCCTACATAATCGATGCTCTCATATTTCTCGCCGGACACAAACCAATGTAAGTTTCAAAAAATATTCATTCGTTGTTTGATTTCATCGCTGAAAAATTAAACTAAACAAAAAGAAATTATTTACAGAATGTGTAGAGTACATCGACGAATTCAAAAGGGTTTTGAAGTCTTTGAATATTACGCCAATAATCAATGGGATTTTGTAAATACCAATATTACACAAATTAGGGATAAATTAAATCCACGTGAGAAGATAATGTACCAAATTCATGGCGATGATTTGGACCTGGATGCATATTTTGAAGCTTGCATAAGATCCGCGAGAGTTTTTATTCTCAATGAACCACTAGAAACACTGCCTGCTGCTCGTAGACATATGAAAGTGTAAGAAAATTAATTGCAACTTCTATTCAATTAATTAAAAATTTTTTTTAACTGAGAAGAAAAATTAATTGCAATTTCTTTTTAACTAATTAAAAATGTTATTTAGCTAAAAAGAAAATTGACTAAAAAGTTATTTAACTAAAAAATTAATTAACCAAAAATTTATTTAACTAAAAAGCTAATTAACTAAAAAGTTAATTAACAAAAAAGTCAATTAATAAAAAAGTTATTTGACTAAAGAGTCAATTAACTTTCTTCAGGAAATTTCAATTAATTAGCAACTTAATTAACAATTTTAATACAGTTCGAATTTCCTAATTTTAATATTTCTGAAATTTCAATTATTCGCTTTTATATTCGTGGGGTTTTTCAAAAATTTGTCCAAACCGGTCTGAACAGTGAGTATTTTACCGCTAGATTTAAAATAAACCAATCACAATGTCGATTGAGTTTAAATCTCGCGCTAAAATTCATTGCGGACAAATTTTTTATTGTTAACTATTTATTTATTTAAACTTTTTTTCAATCGAAGTTTAAAAAATAGGAATATTTAATTATTTCCTCTTTTTAATTTGTCTCTCATTGTAGACAAATTTTCTTCATGAAATGTTTATTTAATTAAAATTTTTCCAATCAAAGTTTAAAACGCAATTTTTTTCTACGTCTTTTATTGCGGATAAATGTTCTCCATTAAATGTTTATTTAATTAAACTTTTTTGAATTGAAGTTTAAAAAAAGATGAATATTTCATTATTTTCTTTCTCTTGTGTCTGATTGCGGCCAAATTTTCTTTATTTAATAATTAAAGTTTATAAAAATATGAATATTTAATTAATTTTCTCCTTTCAATTTCATGAGATTAATTTTTTTCTCTATTCACAGTATGTACTGGGTGGACGTTATAACAAAGATTCTCTTCTTCGTTCTGATTATTTACATGTTCGCCTGTTGGAGCGACAGTTTTCGACAACTATTAGCTCGAGGCTGGGAATTAGTCACTCGACAGCTGTCTTCTTAATTTATAATTAATTTTTTGTAGACCATAACTTATATTTTTGTACTCTTGACCAATTTTAACGGTCATTAAAAATCGACTGCAAAATATTTCGTAAAAAATATTAAACACAAAATTTAATCCTGTATGAAAAAAAAAAGATTTTGTATATTCAGCGAAATGTAACAACGTAAATGGTGGATAAAAATTGTTTTAAATTTTGGAAGAAGAAATAATTAGTTTGAAGAAAAAATATTTACTGTAAAGAAGAAATATTTACTTTGAAGTGAAAATATTTTTTGCAAAGAAAAGATTTATTTTAAAGAAAGAATATTTACTGCAAAGAAAAGATTTATTTTAAAAGAAAGAATATTTACTGCAAAGAAAAATTTACTTTAAAGAAAGAATATTTACTATAAAGAAAAAAAAATTACTTTAAAAAAATATATTTACTTAAATATGAAAGAAATGTAATTAGTTAATACGAAAATTGACACATACTGTACTTATTATTTTAAGAAAAAAAATTTAACACTTGAAAAAATCATCAATGTTCGAGAATTTAAATCTGTAATTGATAATAAAATTATATTCGATTTATTATCATTTTATCAAAGTTGAAAATTTCAATATAAAATAAAAATTGTTTTATGTAATTGTGTTTTTAAATATTTAGTTTTTTTTTTTTTTAAAGAAATGTGTACCACATACCGGAAAACTTCTTGAGTGTGAATTTGTTTTTTTGAGAAGGAATAAAATGAAAAGGAATTCGAGACATTGTTCACCGTTTCGTGGTTTTTATTTTTAAAAATTAGAAATAACACCACTTCAGACGGATTCTTGAACTGGTGGTTCGTATCCTTCCGGTCTATCAACTTTCGAGCCGGTCTCACCACCCTCGCCTCCTTTACTTCCACCTCCATCACCGTGCAATTCCAACAATTTGCTCAATTCGAAACGGGGCTTCTTTAATACCTTAACCTAATGAAAAAATAGGAAATTCAATTATTACAATCCAAAATTCTCGGTGACTGGTGCTTCAATTTTGTGAATTTAAAAAGTAATTGAATTACTTTATAAAAATAGAAAATAATGATTTTAACAATAATTACACACCTTACGAATGTACACATCATGTAGTGGGTAAATTCCCTGACAAGCCTTCTCGATGTCCTTGGCAATAGCATCGGGTAAGAGTTTACTGACGACGCCCTTGAGGTCACTCTTCGAAATGTCCTCGTTGATGATCTCTACCATCTTCTTGCGAATGTTACGCACCTATAATGATAAAAACAGGTTTAATCAAACTTCCAACTATATATTTTTGATTAAAAAATGAATAAGATTTTTAGTTTTTTTAACAAAATTGTCGCGACTGCAAATAACACTGTCACCATTTAATAATGACAGTGTGGTAAGAGAGTCCATTTACTCTACGCAAACTTAACTCCGCTGCGATATAAAAAATCACAGTAGATCAAAGTCTGCGTATTTTTTGTTTCAAACAAATAAACTCTTATTAATACATAAGTACAAAATTAAATTTGACGCGCTTCCAAGAAAAATTTATTTACTTTTATAATTTTTGGAGTAAAAATACAGAAAGAGAATCAATTACTATTAAAAAGTTCAAGACTTCTTCAAATAAAAAATAGTCAACAGAAACTGGTTTCAAATTTACATAATTAAAAAGAAAATTTCACTCAAAATAAATTATTTGCTTCTTCGACACATCTTTCTTGGGAGTGCGTCACAAATTTTTCAATAATTTGAAAAAAAATGAAAGTCTTTACCTGAGAATGTTGAGCGTAACACGTTTTCCTCGTGCTCTGTTGGTCTTTGTTCGTAAAACCGATGCAAAATACTCTCAAAAGGTATCCATCTGTGGTTTTAACATCAACGTGTGCCTCAATAAGAGTTTGCCATTTTTTCACCATTGACCGAAGTTTGTCAGTGGTAAGATCCATGCCGTGGAAGTTGGTCAAGACATTACGTCCTTGAACATCTTCGGCGATGAGTCTGAATTTTCTGAAAGACCTCTCGGCATCGTTGTCGCTTTGAAGATCGGCAAGTGAAACTTCAAACACTCTGAATTTCAGACCTTCGGAGGCGATCTCTGCAAAAGGACAAATTTATTTAGAACATTTCTAAGCTTAAGTTTTACTAAACATAAATTTTACGTAACATATTAAATGAATTCTGAAGGAAATGTCGCAAACGAAAGTTTAACACTACCATAAAAATTGGCAATGTAATGGTTTCGTTAAGCATTTTTCTCTTGCAACGTAAAACGCCACAGAAGTTTTGAGCCACAAAAGTGGAGCTGGAGTTGCATTATTTTATTATCAAACTTTTTTCCTTCAAATTTATGAAACGAACTAAAAGAAATTTTGACGAGAGAAATAAATAGAACATATTGATAAAAAAAATAGAAAACTTACTTGTTCCTTGAGTCCTGTTAACCAAAGTTTTACCGACCTGGCGGCTAGTAAACATCGATGGAGCCTTAACATCGTACCAATCTTTACGGGTGAATGGGTCGACACTATGAAAAAAAGAAAACAATTTTTATTAAAATACCCCAAAGCGAACAATTTTTTTAAAAAAATCAAGTCCCTCGAACTAAAGAACGGGACTTAAATGTTACTTCCGTGTATTTTTAGGTTAGGTTACACTTAAAAAAATACTCCAAATCGTAAAGCATACAAATTAAGCAAAACTTACTTACAGTAAATAGCAAATGTTATAAACTATCACTGAATTTAATAAACAATTTAAAAAAACTTCTAAATTTAAAAAAACATTAAAAATTTCAATGAATGAATGAATTAAATGAAAAATGTAAACACACTACTGAATGGAGCAAAATAAAAAACAGAAATTAACTGTAAAAATACAAGCATACTTTGTTTTACATTTGTTTTAAGCACAAAAAATACATAAAATAAGGAAAATATGAAAGGCATGGAAGATTTCAAGTGTCACACGCGTTCGGAAATCCACTGTAATCACATACATCGTCGAACACATCACGTAAAAAAAAACATTTTTTAAATTCAGCAAAATACAAAATAGAATGCACGATAAATATATTTTACTCACATCTTCTTTTTGACGCCTTTTTTGCCTCCTTTTGAAAGTCCCTTATTTTTACCCACCGCCATGTTTGCGGTTTACAACGGAAAGAAGTCTACGACGTGCACAGAAAGAAAAGGCGGAAGTGAAACGAAACTACCGCCACCTGGCAGCGACAATATCAAATATGATAATCACTGCGCATGCTCGTGCTACTTGCGCCTTTTTTAAACTTTGGAAAACATGACGAAACAAAAAACAATCAAAATTATTAATTTGAAAGTTTGATTCTTAAATTCAAAAGCTTAAATTAGAAATTGTAATATTTTAAGTTATCAATCTACTAAATATTTTGTTTTCTACTATTTTTCCATCTTTTTGGAATTTGAATAAGCGCGCCTTATTTCGAGCAATGAAAACTTCCATCAAGCATGCGCAGTTCACTTCAGAGTAGTTACATGTATTTACGCATTCGCAAGTATTGCAAGTATCGCAAGTATCACAAGTATTTTACGGATATAAACATGTAAATACCAGGTAAACACCGTAAACACATGATAAGAGTGACAATCAGAACGATAGTAAACAACCGGATTATTAACAGTAATCGTTTTTATCTAAACAGTTACATGTTTTTTTTAATAAATTTGTAACGAATATTGAAAACGTGACTCGAACCAATGTGAAGTTGCCTCGGAACGTGAATCGATATACATATCGTGTGCATATCGATATAAAAGGTGTTCAAGTCATTAACGGACGAGGTTGAAAAAAAGAGTTTTATTAATCAGACAAAAACAAGGAGAGTGGCTGTTCCAAATGATTAGAAAATCAGAGTGAAGGCAAAATCGCATGCGCGTGTGTGTGAGTGAAAAGCAGGAAGATGAAAAGAGAGATAGAGGTAAGTGTTAGTCAATAAGAGAATGGAATGATTGAGAGAGACAGATGTATAGATCGAATGGCGGGGGTTACTGTAGATGACACCTGTAGCTCGAGCTGATCAGTTTCGCCGCGACTGTCATCGTTGATACATTATTGTTTTGTATACAGATGTTCATTGCTTTATGTGACGTGCACGTGACAAATTATTGTATACTGAATCGTCATAAGTGCGACAGGTGGGTGTCTACTTATCGTGTTTATTGTCATTAGTTTTTATGGCTATTATATATTATTTACATTATCGTCTTATCCACAATCGTTCAACTTTTCCCTTATTCCCCCCACCCCTCTTCAATTTTGATTATACATGAAAGCTTTCCAGTTTTATCAGAAAAGAAACAACCGTTGATAATATTCCCAGTGAATAAGAATTAGCTTTTGGATTATTGCAGTTTATTCAAGTATTTATTTACTAGTTCCTCGAATTATGAACGTTAATATTAGCAAGTCTGGTAAAAGAATGTCAAATTGAAAATAGAACTTTCCTAGTGAAGGTTAATCCACCTACGCCATCTGTGTCAGTTTTTCGCGGACCGTTATTTTGAAAATTTTTAGCTCATCGTGTTATTGAATCACAGTGAACAATATATAGTGCAATATTTTTTCCCCTAAAAATTAATTGCGTGTTTCATGCTTATTACATATTGAAAGTTGAAACATTCGGGAGATGGAGTGTAGACGTGGAGCCGAACAGGTTTTATTCTTAAGATGAAGCATGGATTCTTACGTTCTTACTGAAAATAGAAAGGTAACTACTGTTCACGATCAGACTTTAAAAGAAGATAATTTCTTGAAGTGATTAACGCGCAATTAACTCTCTGAAGTTTTCATAAGGATTTTTGTGTTTATGAATTCAGTGTAAACAGAAAATCATAGGTTAAGTTTGTCAAAAGTGATGTGTTTTTTTGCAAAACGTCACAATGGGGATTTTTCAAAACAACAACAAAATATTGTAACAGTATGACAACAATATTCGAGAGGTATTTAAAAGAAGACAGTTTTTTTTCTCGTTCGGACAAATCATAGAAATAGAGTGTTACAAAATATTTCTAACTTTACCTTTGCATCAACATTTTTTTTTAGTTACATAGTTTAAAAACTTATAATCGATCGACCTAGAATGAGAAGTAATGATGAAATTATGATGCAATTATTATATACAGATAATTGCGGAATTCTTGAGGTTTTCAAGTTTGTTATTATTTTAATAACGTATTAATCTTTCCTTTGTTAAACTCCGTTTTCGTAACTTAACCCAAGATTATGAATTTCTATGAAATTTCCATTAGGATCTTAAAAGTCATTAACTTCTGTTTATTATTTCGCTTCAAAATATAACTTTTATATTCTTAATTTTTTACTAAAACAAATTCTCTACACAAAAATAATTTCTCATACTAATGATTATTTTTTGAATCATTAACCGAAAATGAGGTTAATTAGAATTTTTTCTATTGTTCTCGTTGTACTAAAAAAATACATAGATATTCTCGTTCATATTTTTATAATACTACAAATTTTGATATTTCTATTCTATTTAATTTTTTTAGTTTTTAATTGTTTTATTTAGTGAATTGTTCAGTATTTTTTTATTTTCATTATTATACAAACGCAAAGTTAGAAATATTTTGCTTCGTTTCAAGTGTTTTATTTTTGACAGAAATTAATGTTTCTTAATATTAAAATTATTCTTATTAATAATTTAAAAAGAAATTCTGAAAATAACTTCCTTGCTTAAACGGTTAATGGCGCTGTACACGAGTTGTCTTCTTGTTTTCATGTTACTTACATATATATCAACATCAGGATCGGATTATTGTTCAGTAGAGCCCAAGGCTGTAATTTGAGATAACGATTTCTAATAAATATGCTTATTTTATTCAAAAAGTAATAATATAATGTCAATAATATTCAATTTAAAGAATTGTCTCGATCAAAATTACAGTTGTTTCTGTCTTTTTTTCAAGTTTTTCTCAAACTTTGTTTGGGGAAAATAATATTTCAAAATGAGTGGAATAATTTCAAATTCAGTAAAATAATTACAAAGTGAAATAAATTACAAACTGATAAAAATATTTTCAAATCGAGTAAAATAATTACAAAGTTAGTAAAATATTTCCAAATCGAGTAAAATAATTTGAAATTGAGTAAAATAAGTACAAACTGAATAAAATAAATCCAATAAAATAATTTAAAATCGAGTAAAATATTTTTTTTTGTAAAATTTTCTCGAGTATTATTTTTGTCTATTTTTTGCATATGGAGATAATTTATTTCACGGACATTATCACGTGTGTGCTATTGCAGAGAAGGAATTGATTTTTTCTTTTTGAAATGTCGTTTATTAGATCTCGGTTTTCTCTGTCTGTCTCTGTTGTTGATTCGTTGAGGCCGTATCTTTAAAACAGTAAACGACTGCTCCTACCACCTTCGACCTGCTAATCGCTTAGAGACTTGGACGTTAGCGAGGCGACAGAAAATGCTCACTGCTTTTTAGCACAGTATGTCGATCATCAAGGCAATACTCTTTCGATTTATAGATCGTGATAAATGCATCAATCTTCAACATAATTCCTCTCAATATCCTGGTTTCATGCTAACGCTTTTACCACTATTAGTGCGACGTAAATATGACACACAAGTCCAGATATCTTCGAATTACAATATTATTATTTTTACAAGGTTGGAGTTTTATTCTAAAACTCTGCAAAGTCGAAGTGACAATTTAGTTCTCTCTCTCTCTTTTGATTTTTTCTTCTCCAATTTTTTCGTCATCGAATATTTTTAGTTACACTGAAAAAAATTATTTGATTCAAATAACTACCGATTACTTGACTATCAATTAAATATTTACTTGAATTTATTTATTTACTTAAACAAATGATATTTACTTGATTCAAATCATTTTTATTTGAGACAATTAAATGAGTTAGTTTATATTAACTTCGAATACTGAAATTATTGGTTGAAATACGATTTAATTGACTCAAATGCAAATTATTTGATTCAAAAGTAAATATTTAATTGATAATAGTCAAGTAATCGGTTATTTGAATCAAATTAATATTTTTTCAGTGTATCTTTTTTTAGTTAAGATTTATTTTTAGTTTGATAATTTTAATTTTCATAAATTTTGATATTTTAATTAGTATATATTCGGATAGAATTTGAAGAAGCATTTTTTATATTCCTTAGGTAGTAATGAATCTTTGACAATAGTGCATTATTTTCTTATCAAAGTGTATTGAATTATTATCACTCTCAATTATTATCGCTTGATTGCATTGATAACGGGATTTAATTTTAAACCTCGAAACATATTAAAAAGGCAGCTGAAAAAACATTGAGTATTGAAGGTTTTTTTTTAAATCGATTTTTAAGAAGGAAAAGAGACAATTTATTATTTTTGTCTTGTTTAATTAGGAATTTTCGAGTTTTATAGTGTGGAAATTATATAACAGTAGACAAATCTTTCAAATTTTATTTTTCAATACTAATAAGGCATTTAAACATGGCTGCCACAGAGCCTGGAAATCCTAGAAAACCTGGAAATATAGAATGGAATTTAAAAAAATTTCTGGAATTTCGCCTGTTTTTAAAGATTCTTAATAAAATTTTAATTTAAAATTATTATTCAATGATTTTCATAAATAATAACATTTTTTTTACAGATGAGATTCAATTATTTTCATGAATTCCTAATAAAACTCATCGCAGACTTTCAATTTTTTAAAATTTATTATGCAATTTTAATGGAATTCCTCAAAAAATGTAATTATTCTTAAAAATTTTATTAAAATTCTGCAAAGAAATTTAATTATTTAGAAAAACTTTTGCTACAATTTAAGTAGGTATTATTTTCAATACATTTTTTATTAAATTTTTTCAAAAAATTGAATTATTTTCATAAATAATGACATTCTTTGTAACAATAAAATTTTTTTACAAAATAATTTTCATAAAATTCTACGTAGAAATTTAATTAATTTCAAAAATTGGGCAAAATTGAATTATTTTCAATGTCTACTATTTCAATAAAATTTCACAAAAGAATTCAATTATTGAAAAATATATTTTAATAAAATTCGTCTCAGGAATTCAATTATTTCCAAAAGTATTCTAATTCTTCGCAGAAATCCAATTATGATAAAAAATTTACAAAAATTCTCGTCAAAATTTCAATTATCCATATAAAAAATAAAATTCCTCTGCAAAATTCAATTATTTTCAAAAATTATAATAA